ATGTTCATGATTTTAGAAAAAAACTGCTGTTTATTTATATTATTTAAAAAAAAAATCATATGTGATTTGTTTAAAAAATTATTAAACTAATCTTCCTTCGTAATAAAGCCAAATGCCCTTTTAAAAAAAAAGGACGGGTCCATGTACTCGTTTTCAAGCTAGAGATTGAAATTAGTTGAAAAATTTTCTGTGTGGTTTACTGGTCTGTTAGTCAAAGGCAATTGTCTCTGATTTTTGTCGAGCCTGCAACTTTTGTCGCAAAAGCAAGACATAGCGATCCTACATTCCGTCGTCGTCGTTGTCGGAGGCGTCCACAAATATTCACTCTGTGGTTAAAGTTTTTGAAATTTTAATAACTTTCTTAAACTCTCCTGCATTTCAACCAAACTTGGACAGAAGCTTGTTTATGATCACAAGATAGTATCCAGAAGAAAATTTTGTAAAAAAAAAAATCCTGTTTATCCGTATTTTACTCATATATGGACTTAGTTTTTCTGCCAGTTAACATAACATTCACTCTGTGGTTAAAGTTTTTCAAATTTTAATAACTTTCTTAAGCTATCCTGGATTTGTACCACACTTGGACAGAAGCTTGTTTATGATCAAAAGCTAGTATCTAGAAGGAAATTTTGTAAAAATTTATTTCCTGTTTATCCGTATATTACTTATACATGTTATAAATTGACTTAGTTTTATTCCAGTTAACATTACGTACAGTCTGCAGTTAAAGTTTTTAAAGCATTAATTAGATTCATAAACCTTCTTGGATTTTTACCAAACTTGAACAGAACTTCTTACAATCAAAAGATAGTATCTAGAAGAAAATTTTAATAATTTTTTCCCCATTTTTGTTGCGCCTGCGACTTACAGCAAAAGTAAGCGAGACACTGGGTTCCGCGGAACCCTTACGAAATTTTTGTATAACATTATACCTTCTTATACCAGATTATGGGTAAAACGAATTCAGAGGCAAGTGCCTTTGGTTTCTTTTATCTATTAGAACATCCTGTATCAGATTAAAATTTTTGGTAAAGGAAGTTTACCGTGAAGGTGTGGTCACATGAATTTAAAAAGTTACATGTTCTTTATGAACTTTTAATACTGTGTAGAAATTTATTTAAAATTTAGAAATTAGTACATTCTCAGTTTAAAGTTTGTGGTTAAAAGTTAACCATGAAGTTTTTGTAGCATTAACTTAAAACTTACTACAAATGTACTCATATTCATTGAGGTGAACTTTTAAGAGTTTATGACAAATTACATTCACAAATCAAAGAACATGTACATAGGATAGTGGGGACATCATGTTCTATAGAGCGGGGACATCATGTTCTATAGAGAGGGGACATCATGTTCTATAGAGTGGGGACATCATGTTCTATAGAGCGAGGACATCATGTTCTATAGAGTGGGGACATCATGTTCTAAAGATAGTGGGGACATCATGTTCTATAGAGTGGGGACATCATGTTCTATAGATAGTGGGGACATCATGTTCTATAGAGTGGGGACATCATGTTCTATAGAGTGGGGACATCATGTTCTATAGAGCGAGGACATCATGTTCTATAGAGTGGGGACATCATGTTCTATAGATAGTGGGGACATCATGTTCTATAGAGTGGGGACATCATGTTCTATAGATAGTGGGGATATCATGTTCTATAGATAGTGGGGACATCATGTTCTATAGATAGTGGGGACATCATGTTCTATAGAGTGGGGACATCATGTTCTATAGATAGTGGGGACATCATGTTCTATAGAGTGGGGACATCATGTTCTATAGATAGTGGGGACATCATGTTCTATAGATAGTGGGGACATCATGTTCTATAGACACATCTTCTTGTTATGGTTATTATTTGGTAAGAAATTTTAACCAATTAATGAGCTTGAAAAGTCATTAAAGATACACTGTACCAGGCTTATAAGTTTAATATGACCGACACATGTTTCATCTACACAGGACTCACATATGGTACTCAAAATAAAAAATGTGAAAGATTAAAGGACTGTAATCACTTAACAACTTTAACTGATTTTTAGATAAAGATCAGGAATCTATGATGTGGGTCTCATTGGGGTTTAAGCGTGACACAGGATTGGCCGATTTTTTTTTAAGCGTGACACGTGAAAGTCAAATAATTTAGCGTGAAAACGGGAAACGAGGTCGTACGGGACACGGTAAATTATATTTGCTATTACGGCAACAAGAAGCAGGATACAGGATTCTGACAAAACAATAAGCGGGATTCCGGGATCAGACCCCCCCAATGAGACCCCCTATGATAATCAGCAAGAAAAATAGTCACATATTTTTATAGATTTTGATTCACACAAACTAAAAAACATATTTGTTATTTGAAATATTTATTATTTGTTATTTATGGAATTTATTTCTTTGATACTAAAATTGATAAGGAAGTAAATTATGTTATAGCACATGATTATATAGGAAACCTCTATACAACAAAAAGAGCATGCTATACAATTTGCATATAGCTACAGAAATTGAAAACAATGCAGTTTTGTTACAATGGTGAAAACTCAGTTCTGAGTTAATTGTATAAAGATGGAATGAAAAATGAAATGAGGATAATTTTTCAAAATTGATTTTTTTAAAATAATAGTTAAATTCACATATGAAAATATGGATCTCTTAAGCCTCATTAACATTGGAAATTTATTTTTAAAATGATTGCAGATTTATTTCAATAAGATTTAGAATACTATTACACTGAGGAATGGATGGTGCATGATGACGTTCCTAAGATAAAAATATAATTTTATAATTTTCGTAAAGTCTAAAGGTTATCCAGAAAGGTGACTTTGCTACCAAATATACCAGAACATGTTGAAACATTTGATTTAAAAATCTTTTTTTTATTATTTTAGTCTACATATGTCTACTTTGTCAATACTATCATGCTTCATAAGCAATCCATATATTTTCCCAATCAGTTCAATTCTCAATTCTGCACATCCTGGCATTTAAATTTTATAAGAGTGATGTAATACAAAATGTACTGATTTCTTGGGACTTGAACCTTAGAATAAACATACTCAAAAATGGTTGATGACATCAGTAATTAACACAGGTATCACATTTATAACTTTTTCAAAGTATGATACATTTTCCAAAACAAAATTTTATAATGAAAACTGTATTTTTAAATCGGAGAAACAATTCTTTTATTTTTATTTTACTTCCTTAGCACTTTGTCAAATTTACGTTGGTAGAAATTAAAGGTTCTATATTAATGTTTATTTCATGGTTATGATATCATGCCAAAAAAAGAGAATTTCTAATTTTATCATACTGCTGGATCACACTGTTTTAAGGTCAAGTTACAGTAAATTAGTGAAGTCACAAAATTTTTGAATTTCTGCATACACTAGTGGCATATTGAATTTGAACTTAAATAAAATTGAAAAAAAAATTTATTTCATAAATTCTATTGAATGAAAATTCTTTAAACAAATTGGACATTTGTATGGAATACACGTAAAATGAGGGAATATTATACTTAGGATTGACCTCATCATTTCTCTAAACAAGTTAATAGATTTTTTCTTAGAATCGATTTGATGTTACTGGGTATAATATACTTCCTTTTAAATGATAAAGACTAATTATAGAATCAGCTCCATTGTTTTGTAGATATTGTTCATCTATAATTATAAGTGTGTTCATGAGAAAATTATCTACCTTATGATATATGGCTTAAACTGCATTACAAAAGTGATATGCTTATACAATGTACTATGTTTTTTTTACAAATGACAGAGAACCAATGCTTGGTAAATCTTTAATATGATAGAATCTGTAAAGTGAATACCCTGGATATGCAAAGTTGTATAAAATGTTAAAGACTGTTATAACAACAACACTTTAGGGATTGCTGCAGTATAAATTTAAAGAAATCAATGATATTTTTAATTATTTTTTTCACAAAAGAACTCGTCTTTGTAAATATTTTCGTTATTTCCTACGATAATTTGATATCATTAATACAGAAATTTAAGCTGGCAAAAACATATACATATTTTAGGAATATCTATTGATTAGTGGAATGAGGATTTAAAGATAATTTATTAGAACATTTTTGTTTGATTTTACAGACATTCTATACGGTGTTCATTGATTTATACAATTTTCAAAAGATTTCATATTTAGACATTATGTTTTTTTTTTTGGGGGGGGGGGGGGGGCACTACAGATAATAATCCCAATTGATGGTGCCAGCTCTTCAAATACAGTACTGTTGTTCTTATTCTAGTGCAATACTCATAAAATATTCAAAATAAATCTACTTAAATATGACAGAGACTCAAGCTGGGATTGCACAATAATGTTGCCAATGACTTTGATTGTCAACCATAAAATTGAAGGCAGATTTTATCCAATCAAAACAGATGTCAAGTGGCCTTGACCCCATTTTCATGGTTCAGTGTGTTATTGCTCAGTTATTATCTCTAAAATCAGTAGAATTGTTGTAAGGTGTACATTTCTTGTGCAGTGTTAAATGTTTTGTTTTCTTGTAGGTTACTACAGTAAGTAAAAGGTCAACTTTGATTGGTTTATAAAATCAATGTATATATGTTGTTGGAGAGGGGGCACTTGACCTCATTATCCAGTTTAATTTTGTTGAATATTTATACATTATCGTTGATCATCTCAACAAGATTGATTTTCTCGCTTGAGCCGGTACGGCACGTGCCCCCTTAGTTTCTAGCGATAATTTTCATATCACTCGACTCCGCTGAGAAAGGAAATTATCAGTCAGTAAGATCAAAGGAAATTTTCGTAAAATAGCGATAATAAGTTTTCTTGATAGATATAGAAAAACCATTGTCTCAAAGAATATCAACATATAAGTTAAAGGAAAATGAAGCAGAACGGAAAACAAATGTAAATAATATAGAGGTATCTTTCAGTAAAAAAAAAATTGCATGGAATTAAAACTGAAAACTAAATTTGTTTGCTTTAATTTCAGGAACTATTAAAGGTGACAATATTTGAGTTTTCTTGTTGACATGAACAGAGACAATGATGACACTATCACATCAACTGAGGTATGTACAAGTTAGTTTAGTAACCAAGGCAACATACAATTGAAAAACAATATTCTATATTATAAAAGCTGTCTTAAAACTACTTGAGACTTATGGAGAATATTTAATTGTATGTTATTTGATGTAACAGTAGATGTTTCATAGTGACAGTATTTGTTTGTATGTAGATGTTTCAGGTCTTAGACTGAATAGTGTATTATTCTGAAAATAGCATTGCTTGTAAATTTTGACTGAAATGTAGATGAGGTTTATTTTGGAAGTAATTGGGTTTGTTCAAAGTATATCAAGAATTTATTGCATTTTGAAAATGTTTTATTTTGATGGCCAGAGTAAAACACATTTTTGTAGACCTTATTGCCTTTCTGGGATTTGCAATACTAATTGAAAATCATTATTTATTTTATTCATTATAAATATATCTTACAACAGTCACTGTAGCTTTGCCCAGCATATATTTTGCGTATGGGGTCAAAATTTACAGGAACTTGTGTGTTGTCAAGTAATGTTAAACAAATAGCCGTAAGATGTATTGAGTTGATAGTTAGGATAACTTACATTTAAATATATATAAAATGTTTTTAAATAATTTCACTACAAATAATTAGTAAGTCAGCATTCAGAAAAAAGTAGGTTGAATTACCAAACTTTTCTTATAAAGTAGGTTAAGTTAACAAACTTTTCTTATAAAGTAGGTTGAATTACAAAACTTTTCTTATAAAGTAGGTTGAATTACCAAACTTTTCTTATAAAGTAGGTTTAATTACCAAACTTTTCTTATAAAGTAGGTTAGTTAACAAACTTTTCTTATAAAGTAGGTTGAATTACAAAACTTTTCTTATAAAGTAGGTTGAATTACCAAACTTTTCTTATAAAGTAGGTTTAATTACCAAACTTTTCTTATAAGTAGGTTAAATTACCAAACTTCTTTTGGTTTTACTGGATTTGGTTTCATTGTTGTGAAGTTTATTTTGACATCTTTGGTACTATAAAATATTAGTTCATAACATCATATACAGAAGGTGATAGGTCAATAATTGGGACAAATATATATTATTCATTATTTTACTGACTTAAGTTAAAGTTGACCTTAGATTCTTTAGCTTGGTTCTGTGACATCCTCAATATGTATGTCATCTGTCAAGGTATAATGATTTTTTATTGATTGATTTCAAGTAACAATAAATGGGCAATGTCACATCTGTCAAACAAATTTGAATACAGTTTCAGCATGTTGAACTTCAAATGATCATTGAAAAAAAAATTATGAATAATTTCTCATTTCTGTGACATATTTTGAAAATAAAAATTCTAAAATTTATGTTAATGTTTAAACAATATGTATAAAAACATTGATTATACTCATTTCTCTAAAACAAATCTATAAACATTGATTTGAGAATATTGTTTGGTAGATTTTCATTTTAATGATATTATACTTATAGTAATATTATACTTGTAAATAATTTAAGTCAGTATATTAATTCTTGGTCCATGAATCATTCAGAGTTGAGTTTAAGGTTGAAAAATTTAAGAAAACATCAAAGTAAGTATTGAATAATATGAAGCCATGACATTTTCTGTTTAATCTGTGAACACAATATAGAATAATCATTCATTATTCAGGGGCGGATTTAGTGGGGAGGGCCGTTATGGAGCTTCATTTATGGTAAATCCAGACTTTTTACCGATTCCACTTCAAATTTTGTCTAGTTTGGGGGCTGACCGGCCCCCTTTTTCAAAATCCTGGATCTGCATCTGATAATCATTTAATTGGTATAATATAATGTGTGCAAACCAGGAGTAAACTTAAGTAACATACCACATCTTCTTATTTATATTAAAAGTCCATTAGTGTCACAAAGCATTTAATTTACAAAGTCACAAAACATTTTATTCACAAAGTCACAAATTACAATATTAAAAACATTTAAAACAACAAAACACCCTATGTTTTTATAAACCTGCAATTTAATAAATGTGGGCAAATCAGGATGACACCATCACTAGCTTGTAACAGCCTTGTAATTGTAATTGACTGTTCCATAGGCTTGCATGCAAAACAGCTGATCTTTGAAATTTTTTTAAAACAAAATGCTACATAGAATTTTTTTATCATGTACATATCATGTATTTAGTAATGTGAAATTGTGATTTAATGGGGAAAAAAAGTGCCTCATGCCATGAAGAATATGAAACCCTGAAGTAAAAACTACTTTTTAGCTCACCTGGCCCAAAGGGCCAAGTGAGCTTTTCTCATCACTTGGCGTCCGTCGTCCATCCTCGTCGTCGTCCGTCGTCGTTAGCTTTTACAAAAATCTTCTCCTCTGAAACCACTGGGCCAAATTTAACCAAACTTGGCCACAATCATCATTAGGGTATCTAGTTTAAAATAATTGTCCAATGACCCCGCCAACCGACCAAGATGGCCACCATGGCTAAAAATAGAACATAGGAGTAAAATGTAGATTTTGGCTTATATCTCTGAAATCAAAGCATTTAGAGTAAATCTGACAGGATTAAACTGATTATCAGGTCAAGATCTATCTGGCCTGAAATTATCAGACAAATCTGACAACCCGTTGTTGGGTTGCTGCCCCTGAATTGGTAATTTTAAGGAAATTTTGCAGTTTTTGGTTATTATCTTGAATATTATTATACCCAACGCAACGAGTTGCAGAGGGTATAATGTTTTTGACACGTCCGTCCGTCTGACCGTCCGTCTGTCTGTCCGTCTGTCAGTCCGTCAGTCCTGTTTCTTGTCATCCCAACTCCTCTCAAACCACACAACAGAATTTCACGAAACCTTTTTAGATAATAAGGACATACTATGTAGTTGTGCAAATCGACAGGAAATTACGATTCAATTTTTTTTCTAGGAGTTACGCCCCTTTGAACTTATTTGCCCAATATTCTACTGCAACAGTTTGTCATCGCAACTCCTCTCAAACCACACAACAGAATTTCATGAAACCTTTTCAGATAATAAGGACATACTACGTAGATGTGCATATCGACAGGAAATTACGATTCAATTTTTTTTTCCAGGAGTTACGCCCCTTTGAACTTATTTGCCCAATATACTACTGCAACCTTTTGTCATCGCAACTCCTCTCAAACCACACAACAGAATTTCACGAAACCTTTTTAGATAATAAGGACATACTATGTAGATGTGCATATGAAAGGAAATTATGATTCAATTTTTATACGCCCGTTTACGGGACGTATTATGGTATACCGTTGTCCGTCTGTCCATCTGTCCGTGAGGTATGTGAGCGCGCTCACTAAGGTTCTTTAATTATAGATAGAGATAAACTGTAAACAGCAATAATGTTCAGCAAAGTAAGATCTACTAATAAGTCAGCATGACCAAAATTGTCAGTTCACCCCTTTAGGAGTTATTCCCCTTTATAGTCAATTTTTAACAATTTTTCTTAAATTTTTGTAATCTTTTACGCCCCTTTATTCGGAAATTATGATTCAATTTTTTTTTCTAGGAGTTACGCCCCTTTGAACTTATTTACTTTAATGTACTACTGCAACAGTTTGTCATCTCAACTCTTCTGAAACCACACAACAAAATTTCATGAAACTTTGTAGATAATAAGGACATACTACGTAGATGTGCATATCGACAGGAAATTACGATTCAATTTTTATACGCCCGTTTACGGGACGTATTATGGTATACCTCTGTCCGTCTGTCCGTCCGTCGTCAACATGTCCGACATTAACTCAAAAATGCTTTAACCAATTTGCATAAAACTTTGGTGAATTGTTTATATCTATTGACGTGAGCTCCCTTTCGTTTTTTATAAAATTTAGATTCTAGGTTTCCGAGTTATGGGGTTTTATTCATTAAAAAAAGGGGGATTTTCCAGTTTTCGGACAATAAGTCAAGAATGCTTTCACCAACTTGCAAGAAATTATGGTGAATTGTTTATATCTATTGACATGAGCTCCCTTTAGATTTTTATAAATTTTAGATTTTACGTTTTCTGAGTTAAGGGTTTTTTTCATAAGAAAAGGGGGGATTTTCCAGTTTTCGGACAAAAACTCAAAAATGCTTTCAGCAATTCTTATGAAACTTTGGTGAATTGTTTGTATGTATTGATGGAAGCTCCCTTTAGAATTTTATACATTTTACATTTTACATTTTTGAGTTATGGGGTTTTATTCAATAAAAAAGGGGTGATTTTCCAGTTTTCGGACAATAACTCAAAAATGCTGTCACCAATTCTCATGAAACTTTGGTGAACTGTTTATATCTATTGATGTAAGCTCCCTTTTTAATTTCATAAATTTCTAATATGACATTGAGAATTAATTGAACTTTATTTGTTTATAGTCTGACAACAGATTTACTAAGTATTGCACAACAGCAAGAAATCTTTAATTGAATATAAATTCAATTCATATAACCAATTTCAAGATCTTTGACTACATTTATTCAGAAACCTATAATATGTCATATATTTAATTACAATCCAAATTCAGACCTGAATCAAGCTTGAATATTGTGTACATTTTTGCCCCAACTGTTCAGGGTTGGACCTCTGCGGGCGTATCTAGCTGCGCTCAGCGAAGCAGTTTATTATTCCAGGATTTACGCCCCTTTGAACTTATTTGCCCAATATACTACTGCAACCTTTTGTCATCGCAACTCCTCTCAAACCACACAACAGAATTTCATGAAACCTTTTCAGATGATAAGGACATACTACGTAGATGTGCATATCCACAGGAAATTACGATTCAATTTTTATACGACCACAAAAATTGAAAATTTTTTTTCTAGGAGTTACGCCCCTTTGAACTTATTTGCTTCAATATACCTCTGCAACAGTTTGTCATCGCAACTCCTCTGAAACCACACAATAGAATTTCATGAAACTTTGTAGATAATAAGGACATACTAGGTAGATGTGCATATCGACAGGAAATTATGATTCAATTTGTTTTTCTTATACAATTTTTTTTTCTTGCAGTTATTTTATTTCTCTAGTGACAATGTGGGGACGTGGGGTATGTGAGCGCGCTCACTAAGGTTCTTTAATTATAGATAGAGATAAACTGTAAACAGCAATAATGTTCAGCAAAGAAAGATCTACTAATAAGTCAGCATGACCGAAATTGTCAGTTCACCCCTTTAGGAGTTATTCCCCTTTATAGTCAATTTTTAACAATTTTTCTTAAATTTTTGTAATCTTTTACAAAAATCTTCTTCTCTGAATTTACTGAGACAAATTTAACCATACTTGGCCATAATCATTATTAGGGTATCTAGTTTAAAAAATTTGTCTAATGACCCCGCTTTCCAACCATCATGGCCGACATGGTTAAAAATAGAACATAGGGGTAAAATGCAGTTTTTGGTTTATATCTCTGAAACTAAAGCATTTAGAGCAAATCTGACAGGTGGCAAAAATGTTCATCAGATTTAGATTTATCTGCCCTGAAATTTTCAGAAGAATCCGTCAGCCGTTGTTGGTTTGCTGCCCCTGAGTTAGTTTCTACTTGCTGTTTTTACTAGTCTGTACCACTTCTTGTAAATATGATATCCTTCCACTTTCCTGTATTGTTAAATGTAATCCCATTATAATAGGAGTACTCTTTTCTGAAATCAGGCAAAATTTGGAATATAAGTCGTCTACCAAATGATCTGTAAATCTCAAATTTGCATCTTTTAAAAGATGTTTTCTAATTATTTGGATATTGTGAAGCTATGGGAGAATTCTTATTAATTTATTTTTTTTCATTTTCCTTCACAATGATTAAACCAAATACAACTTTTTACCCCTGCCCCATTTTTCCAGGGAAATCTATCCAAGTGGGCCTTTTGTTTTAGTCAAATTGAAAAACTTCCCAAAAACTTTTTCAAAAAGAAGAACTTGTTGCAATACAGCTTTATATACACAAGGTTGAATATTTCTTTCTCTTTATTGATTACACATGTGCACATACATGCCTACTATATCATGGTTTTACTTCACATCCCCATGCGTATAACATAATTTGCAATAAAAACCTCGAAAAAACAAAATGATTACTCAAGTTGGTGTTTTTGGTAAGAATATTTATTACTTGTAACACCTAAGCACAAAAATCCCTGTCGGCATGGATAGTATTGGAGAAATTTTACTATTCAAACAAAATTTTATTTATTTTAACCCAAAAATGGAATTTTCAATTAACATTGCAGTGCCACAGACAGGAAAAGAAGTAATAGACTCTTGTAAAATGAAAATTTTATGAAAAAAGGTTCATTTTATATGTATTCCACTTAAATGTCAACAATTGAGCCATAAAATTATTAACCCTAAAGAAAAATTCTAGTTTTTGTCGAGCCTGCGACTTTTGTCACAGAAAGCTTGACATAGGGATAGTGATCCGGCGGGGGCGGCGGCAGCGGCGGCGGTGGATTAGCTAACTTCTTAAAAGCTTTATATTTTAGAAGCTAGAAGACCTGGATGCTTCATACTTTGTATATAGATGCCTTATGTTACGAAGTTTCCGTCTGTCATATGTCCATTGTCCTTGACCTCATTTTCGTGGTTCAGTGACTACTTGAAAAACTTTTTTTTGTAATGTTAATTTCATTCTTATTATGAGTAATAGGATAACTATATTTAGTATGTGCGTACCTTGCAAGGTCCTTGTGCCCGTCAGACAATTTTCATTTGACCTCGACCTCATTTCAAGGATCGGTGAACAAGAATAAGTTTTTGTGGTCAAGTCCATATATCAGATACTATAAGCAGTAGGTCTACTATATTTGGTATATGGAATGATTGTAAGGTGTACATGTCCAACTGGTAGGTGTCATCTGACCTTGACCTCATTTTCATGGTTCAGTGGTCAAAGTTAAGTTTTTGAGATTTGGTCTTTTTTTCTAATACTATATGCAATAGGTCAACTATATTTGGTTTATAGAAATATTTTATGATGTACATGTCTGTCTCGTAGGTTTTTTTTTACCTTGATCTCATTTTCACGATTCATTTCTCAGTGTTAAGTTTTTGTGTTTTGGTCTGTTTTTCTTCAACTATAAGCAATAGATCAACTATATTTGTTGTATGGAAGGATTGTAAGGTGTATATGTCTGTCTGGCAAGTATCAGTCCTTGACCTCATTTTCATGGTTCATTGGTCAATGTTAAGTTTTCATGGTTAAGTTTGTTTCTTAGATACTATAAGCAATAGGTCAACTATATTTAATGCATAAATTGATTGTAAGGTGTACATGTCTGTCTGGCAAGGTTCATCTGACCTTGACCTCATTTTCATGGTTCATTGGTCAATGTTGAGTTTTCTTGGTTAAGACTGTTTCTTAGAAACTAAGCAATAGGTCAACTATGTTTGGTTTATTGAATGATTGTAAGGTGTACATGTATTTCTCGTTTGGTTTATCTGACCTTGACCTCATTTTCTTGGATCATGTTAAGTTTATGTGTTACTTGTAGTAAAGCTTTATATTTAGGACTATCAACATAAAATCAATGGTTAGTAAAGAAGGCGAGACATTTGAGCGTGTGCACTCTTGTTTATGTAGCTGTATATTCAACTTTACACTGATTTTCAATGAAACTGCTTACCGGTATTACTTTTTTTGAAACACTAAACAAAATCATGTTTTCTCAGTTGTTGCAGGCATGGTATCTGTGATATCTGTGATCACTAGATCACCTCTTTAGTTTTACAGATTATTTGCTATATATTTCATCCAAATTAAGTTGTAAAAAATTAATCATATACACATCATGAGAAGACTAAAACAACTGAAGACAAAATTATAACCAAATAAACTATTCTGTGTCTATTGACAAATGTTATTATATGAAACATATAGCAAAAAAGTATACCTGATAAATACTTGTTGCATAAGACTGAAGTTTGGTGACATATACATTGCAGTCTAAGAGAATATTTGTTATTTGTATCTATAGGATATATCCACATACTATGGAATCATATGGATGTCTATGCCTTACATTAAAAGTACCTAAAACAAATTAGCTTCATGCCTGCAGGATATGAGGAAATTATTTTAAATCCTGACCAAAAATTGAAAATTAATTTGGCATGTCCTAACTACAGACATATATTATTCAACAGTTAATTTCATCATGCATATACATACACATTCAATATGACCAAATTAAAAGGAATAAATTCATAGCCTTGAAATGGAATAATGATATAGAAAACTTGCAGTACATAATTTATTTTGTTATTTGATGGTTTGATTTCACTCATATTAAATGCAATGCATTATTAGTGGTTACTATTTAATTGTAACATATTCTTATATAACAACATATTATACTTACATGTAATTGTGTTTAAAGAATTATTGTATTTCAGACAACGCATTGGAAAAACACATCAGATCAGAATTGGCTGCCATTGGAAACTGATGAGGAAATCCAATTAAAAAGCCCAACATGTAAAGAAAATAGAAGCATTGGTGAAGATGAAAACAAAACAAAATGCAATACTAGGAATGAAGGTCAGGAGGTCAAACCTGTACATTGTGACCAAAACCAGGACCAGATTTTGTCAGAATTAATAAATGATGAACAGTTGATCAGTACAAATTCTAAACAAGAAAGAAATAATTCTAAGGAAATCATTTACAGTAAGCCTGGCGTCCAACAGGCAGATAGCAGCGCTGACATCCAACAGGCAGGTAACAGCACTAATGTCCAACAGGCAGGTAACAGCACTAAAGTCCAACATGCAATAACTCGAATTGATGTCCAACTGGCAGGTAAAAGTACTGATGTCCAACAGGCAGGTAAAAGTACTGATGTCCAACAGTCAAGTAACAGTACTGATGTCCAGCAGGCAGGTAATAGTACTAACATCCAACAGACAGGAAACAGCACTGATTACCAACTGACAGGAAACAGCACTGATGTCCAACAGGCAAGTAACAGCATTAATGTGCTACAGGCAGGTAACATCAATGACATCCTACAGGCAGGTACCAGCACTGCAGTCCAACAGGCAGATAACAGCACTGATGTCCAACAGGCAAATAACAGCACTGATGTCCAACAGGCAATAACTGGAATTGATGTCCAACAGGCAGGTAGCAGCACTGATGTCCAACAGGCAGATATTATCACTGATGTCCAACGGGCAGATAATGGCACTGACCTCCAACAGGCAGATAATAGCACTGATGTCCAACAGACAGGAAACAGCACTGATTTCCAACAGACAGGTAACAGCACTGAAATCCAACAAGCAGGTAACAGCACTGATGTCCAACTGGCAGGTAACAGCAGTGATGTCCAACAGGCACATAACAGCACTGATGTTAAACAGGAAAATAACAGCACTGATGTCCAACAGGCAAATAACAGCACTGATTTCCAACAGGCAAATTACAGCACTGATGTCCAACAGGCAGGTAATGGTACTGACATCCAACAGGCAGGTATCAGCACTGACATCCAACAGGCAGGTAACAGCACTGATGTCCAACAGGCAGGTAACAGCACTGGTGTCCAACAGGCACATAACAGCACTGATGTCAAACAGGAAAATAACAGCACTGATGTCCAACAGGCAAATAACAGCTCTGATGTCCATCAGGCAATAATTGGTATTGATGCCCAACAGACAGGTCACAGCACTGATGTCCAACAGGCAGGAAACAGCACTGCTATCCAACAGGCAGGTAACAGCACTGATGTCCAACAGGTTGGTAACAGCACTGATGTCCAACAGGCAGGTAACAGTAATGATGTCCAACAGGCAGGCAACAGCACTGATGTTGAACAGGCAGGTAACAGTAATGATGTCCAACAGGCCAATAAACAAGTAGGTAATATTCAACAACAATCATTTCAAAGTCAAACCCTCCAACAACAACAAAATGATGGCGAAGACCTTCAACTAAAACCAATAATCAGCATTGATAACCATTTACAATTGAGTAACAACCAACAGGAACCAACTAATGCCATTGACTTTCAGGAACAATTGGTCAATACTAACAGCATTCAACAACAACTACTTGACAACACTAACATCCAACCACAACATAATGACAACAGTTGTACCAAACAACAACCAATTGAAAACAGTAATGCCAAACAACAACCAATTGGCAACAGTGACATTCTGGAACAATCAAGTTACACCAGTAACACCATACAACAATCAAGTGACCTAAATGACACCCAACAACAACCAGGGAACAACAGTAACAATCAACAACAACCAAATGACAAAAATAACACTAAGCAACAATCAAATGATAAAAATTGCACCTCACAACAACCTAGAGATGAAATAATTGCCCAACAACAGCCAAATGATAGCAGCAATGCCAAGCAACAGCCAAGTAACAACAAAAAAATCCAACAACAGCCAAATAACAACAGTAACATCCAACAGCATCCAACTGATAACATTGACATTGAACAACCATCATGTAGAATCAGTGACATTAAACAACCAAAGAACACTGTACAAGATGGACAGAAAATAATGCTAACAGGTTTCCAAGACAGTGATATCCTGAAGGAAACAATTGAAAAGGACAATGAAAAACTGATGATAATAACAACTGATGACCATGATAGAGATAACAGGAACACCCAACAGCAATTAGATGAACAACATGATGACACCAAAAACATCCAACAAGATGGTCTAATTAGTGTGCAACATGATGACACCAATGACAGCCAACAACAGTTCCATACCAGTGAACAACCATGTGATACTGAGAACAACAAATCAAAGTGCCATACCAGTGAACAACCATGTGGTACTGAGAACAACAAACCACAGTGCCATACCAGTGAGCCACCATGTGGTACTGAGAACAACAAACCACAGTGCCATACCAGTGAGCCACCATGTGATACGAAGAACAACAATCCACAATGTCATAACAGTGAGCAACCATGTGATACGAAAAACAACAAACCTCAATGCCATACCAGTGAACAACCGTGTGATACTGAGAACAACAAACCACAATGTCATAACAGTGAGCAACCATGTGATACGAAAAACAAAAAAACACAGTGCCATACCAATGAGCAACCATTTGATGCCAAGAACAACCAACAACAGTGCTATACCAATGAGCAACCATGTGATGCCAAGAACAACCGACAACAGTGCCATAGCACTAAGCAACCATGTGATGCCAAGAACAACAAAGCACAGTGCCATACCCTAGAGCAACCATCTGATACTAAGGATAACCAACAACAGTGCCATAACACTAAGCATCCATTTGATGCCAAGAACAACCAACAACAGTGTCATACCAGTAACCATCCATGTAATGCCAAGAACAACAAAGTACAGTGCCATACTTTAGAGCAACCATCTGATAGTAAGGATAACCAACATCAGTGTTTTGTAAGCGAGGAAAATAGTGATACAAAGGTCAATCAACAGTTAAGTCAAACCAGTAAGGCAGAAAGTGACTTAAGGAACCGCCAACTACAGTGTAGTCCCAAAAAACAACTGAATGACAGCAAGGACAGCATGCAACAAACTAGTTCCACTGAAAAACACAGCACACTTTTAGGTAAACTAAATGCAAGGGCGAAGGACAACATTAAGTCATTTAAAACTGTTGAACAACATATGGAGGATCCAAATCAAAAAGATATCAAGGTAATTGAAGAATATTATAACAGCAATCAAGAGCTGCCTATTGATTTATCAAATCCAAATAAAAAGTCCAACAGTAACAATGGATTTCTGTTAGCACCTAAACAAGTGAAAAAGCATACTGAGAGCATGGCATCCTCAATACATAGTCATTCCAATTATCCTGATGACAGAATGCAACAATCTCACGATGAGAAAAGTTACTTGAAGAATATTATTCACCATTCTAAAATGAAAGATGGTCTACAGTCTATTACCATTCCTAATAGTAAAAAAAGTGACAATCTTTTACACATTCCTAAGAGAAAAGCACATAGAAACAGACAAAAATATTGTGATATCAGAGACATGCAGGAACTATATAAGACATACCAACAGGAAGATGTCAGCAACTTCCATGAGTTCAAGGTACAAGGCAAGGATGTTCACTTTCTACATTCACCTAATGAACAATTTGGGAAAATACAAGACAACCTACAACAGAAAACTTCAGGTGGGGATTATTGTGTGATGAGACAATTAAGTCATCCAAGTAAACAGGAAGTTGTCATGGATACTGAATATAGTGGAAGCAGTGGTCAGCAAAGTGACAGCAATTCAGAAAATAAACATCAGATAGTTACATATCAACGTCAACAAAGTGAAAGTTCAGAAAATAGTCTTCAGATCATCATGGATCAGAGTACTAGTATTGGACATAGTGAAAGTACAAGTTCAGAAAATAGTCTTCAGATTGCCACAGATCACACTGAATTTGAAAAGCTAGTTTTTCCTGTCAAATTAGAAATTGATGAACGGGTCACATCTGAGTCTGAGATTGAACATCCTACCAATCAACAAAGTGAACATGGCACAGAGGGTGGGATTCAGGATGACATTGCTCACAAAGAGGTAAGTGTTAATACATATTTATGTGCTGAAAATAAGCAATTTGATTTGGTTGTTAAAATTTATCTAAATGATTTGCCAAGCAGTGAAAAAATGTTTGTTTTAAAAACTTTTAAAGTTTGTTGCTGTAGTCCAATTTTTTTTTGGTGAAATTAATCTTTTCTTTAAATAAACGTCTTTACATTTTTAAGTAGATTGGGTGTCTTTTTCTGAGCATCCATTCTGGGCATGTTGCAAAAATACTTTTTTGGTTAAAAAATATTGTACCAGGTATTATTAAATATACAACAAAAACATCTAAAGCTTTAAATTTTAAGATTAAAGTATCAAAAAATTAAATGCCTTTAAGTGTATTTAAAAATACAGAAAAAATCCTTTTAAAATCAAGAGCAGAAAAATATATTGATTTGATAGGACAATTTGTGTTTTGGGGAATTTTCAAGAAAATAAGGCTAGTGACCCCTATCTTGTATTGCTCCCCCCGCAACACGTTGTGGGGGACATAGAAATACCATGGATCCGTCCGTCCGGGCTTGTTAGTGCTTTCACATGTACAATTCTTGCCAGATTTTTATAATATCATGGGTTTATATATGCAATTTCTCGGACAAGTTTAAAAATCAGTGCCAATCAAATATTTTTGTCGAGCCTTCGACTTTTGTCGAAAAAGCGAGACATAGCGATCCTACATTCCGTCGGCGTCGGCGTCGTCGTCGTCGTCGTTGTCGTCGGCGGCGTCCACAAATATTCACTCTGTGGTTAAAGTTTTTGAAATTTTAATAACTTTCTTAAACTATCCTGGATTTCTACCAAACTTGGACAGAAGCTTGTTTATGATCATAAGATAATATCCAAAAGTAAATTTTGTAAAAAAAAAAATTCCATTTTTTCCGTATTTTACTTATAAATGGACTTAGTTTTTCTGCCAGTTAATATTACATTCACTCTGTGGTTAAAGTTTTTGAAATTTTAATAACTTTCTTAAACTGTCCTGGATTTCTTCCAAACTTGGAAAGAAGCTTGTTTATGATCATAAGATAGTATCCAGAAGTAAATTTTGTAAAAAAAAAAATCGTTTTTTTCAGTATTTTACTTATAAATGGACTTAGTTTTTCTGCCAGTTAACATTACATTCACTCTATGGTTAAAGTTTTTGAAATTTTAACAACTTTCTTAAACTATCTTGGATTTGTACCAAACTTGGACAGAAGCTTGTTTATGATTAAAAGCTAGTATCTAGAAGTTAAAATTTTGTTCCATTTTTTCCGTATTTTACTTATAAATGGACTTAGTTTTTCTTCCAGTTAACATTACATACAGTCTGCAGTTTAAGTTTTTAAAACATTTATTAGATTCATAAACTATCCTGGATTTTTACCAAACTTGGACAGAAGCTACTTACAATCAAAAGATAGTATAGAGAGGAATATTTTTATTAATTTTTTTCCTCATTTTTGTTGAGCCTGCGATTAACAGCAAAAGTAGGCGAGACACTGGGTTCCGCGGAACCTTTACGAATTTTTAATAGAGTAATGGCCCTTGGAAATATTAATTATATGGAAAATTGCATTGTTATTCTTATGTGTACAATTCTTGCCAGATTTTTATCAAATTTATATCAGCAATGTCTCGGACAAATTAGAAAATCTGTGCCGATCATATATTTTAAAAAAAGTTATGAATGAAATTTGGAAGTAATTTGACCCAGAAGTCTTTTACAGAAGTTTAAAAAAATTCTATCATGGAACATTGAGACACCCCAGCTACCTTAACTTCTGTAAATGGACTTGAATTTAGATTTTGAATGATTCAAGTGGACCAATACCTTCTGGCGGTTTAGGCTGGTAAAGTAATCAAGATGGATACTGAAGTATGCTGCGGTTGTCTTAAAACCTCATTAATCCAAACTGTTAAAAGACAACAGCATCCTGGTTATGGCAAGGACATTATTTATTGTGTTGACATGGTTCACTACTAAGAGTGGCGTCTTCAGGACAATAATAAATTATTCCCTTGCCATAACCAGGATGTTGTTGTCTTTTTATTGTTTGAAAATAAGTCAAAATGATCAGCTATTCATCAAGTACAAAAAGTGCTGCTTGATACAGAAAAAAATTCAGTTTTGTGAAAATAAGAAGAATCTTAACTATTTACCTTTGCTTTACATTAGATTAAATTAGTCATCCTAGTCTAATTTCTTAAGTTTGTTGTTTAGGGAATTACATATTTCTATGGATTTTTTTTATAACTGGAGTGTTTATAACTCGGTTAGAAGGATTTTCTTATAAGCATCAGCCACCATGCAGAAACCTGATCTTAGATATATTTAAACTAATTGTTCTACAAGTTTAAGAAGTAGTGGAGGCTAGTTATTTTGCATTTTAAAATAGATAATTATTTTATAAATGCTCTCCATTTTACCATTAGGAAATGTCAACTATAATATTACTGTTTGGAGTCTTTGAATTAAAAGTTAAGAAGAACTTGCAAGAAATTAATGATCTATTTGATAACTTGATACAATTGAATGTTTCCAACAACAAAAATAACATTTTAACAATTAGACTGTCAAAGTAACAAACATCCATGACCCATGAAGAAGTTTAGATATAACATATAAAACCAGTATGCTTTACTCAATACAATATTCACCAGTAATTAACTCATATTACTAAGGTAATAATTTCTTAAAACAATAAAACCTGTCTCTTTAAAGCCATTATTTTTTTTTATTTTAAGAATTGCATTCTAAATCTTTTAATGTATAACTGAAAATAATCAGTAATCTGTAGAATACTCCAGATCATTATATTATAATATAGGAATAACAGTCCTGATTTTGAAAAGTTGCCACCTTGATGATCTCAGATGGATTTTACCTAGGTCCCTGAGTGGACCCTTAAAACCTTGCTGCATACGAATAATGCTTTCAAAATTTAGAATGCTAGTTTTTATTTTGGGAAACATATACCCAAGGTTGCAAGTTTGGCAATAATAAAAGCATAGTAATAATTTCTGAATAGTAACTGATGTCCTTAGAAGGCTTTGATTGAATTGTATTTATAAAAAAGAAGATGTGGTATGATTGCCAATGAGACAACTCTCCACAAGAGACCAAATGACACAGAAATTAACAACTATAGGTCACTGTACAGCCTTCAACAATGAGCAAAGCCCATACCCCACAGTCAGCTATAAAAGGCCCCGAAATGACAATGTAAAACAATTCAAACGAGAAAACTAATGGCCTAATTTATGTACAAAACAATGAACAAATAACAAGCACTGATTTACAGGCTCCTGATTTGGGACAGGCACATACATACAAAATGTTAAACATGTTAGCGGGATCCCAACCCTCCCCCTAACCTGGGACAGTGGTGTAAAAGTACAACATAAGAACAAACTATAAAAATCAGTTGAAAGAGGCTTAACTCATCAGATGGATAAAAATACAAATACTACAAATACAAGTGGACGTGGCCGGTTACTTGTACATCAAACACTAAGTACAAAGTACAGATCTGAGAGTACTCGCAGTTACTGACAGCTAGTTCAAAGCCACTAACAACTAATAAAAAAAATCATGCATCTAAGACAAAATTATCAATCCGTACACATCCAACATCCAATGGATTTAGTGTAAAGACGTCATAAACAGTCAGAGAAAAACATGACCTTGTGCAATGCCAAGATACAGGTATCGATAGAATGTAGATCCATGAATGTGTATATGTATATAGCAATAATATTTAGTTTGCTTTTAATTTAATGATCTAATTACAGTGTTGAATTGGTAACCTTTTAGAATAAGTTTATTTAAAGGATCGATAAGTTTACCAGGATCGTTTCTAAATTTCCGGGCACGGTAAACAATATTACCTTGCCAGAAGTATTTAAAATTGTATGATGCAGATTTATCAAATATATATTTTTGTTTATTTTTCAGAATATAAGTATTTTGTTTGTTTGTAACACCTGTTTGAGAGAGAAGATGACCACAGCTACTTTTCCAAATGGTCAAACATTAGCTAGGCACGCCATACTGGTACACCATCCTCTTCCTAACCTGACCGGACCATATTTCCAGTTCACATGTCACACTGAAGACTTCAATTACTATTGCATTCCAGTTGTACAGGAAAAGGTAGGTTTCAACATGTATTGTACTGTGGTGTTGTCATAAACACTGCTTTCAGTTAAGGGTGATACGATTGTGAAGTAGCGTCAGAATAGATATAAAAGAATCTTGAAAGATTTTGACAATTTTCTGAATTGTCAATCCAGAGTTATGGGACATTAACCATCAGATTTAAGGTAAATTTTTTGCCCTGCCTACAATAGTAGGGGGTATAGTGTTTTCTGTTCAGTGTGTCCATCTGTCTGTTTGTCCGTCCTGTATCAGGTTAATAAATTTTTGTTAAGGTAGTTTACGATGAAGTTGTGGTTAAATCAACTGAAAACTTTGTAAATATGTTCATATTGATGTGAACTTTTTGTTTATATGCCAAATGAAGGCTTTACCCAAATTTCAAAGTTCACTGAAATTGCTGGGAGATAAAATAGAAAATTGAGAAGGCATCTAATCAGAAGTTAGTTAAATTACTCAGTAGGAAAACTTGTATTAGGATATGCGTAGCCTTAAATATGACTTAAAAGTCCCATAACTCTGGATTGCCAAACAAGAAAATTTAAAATCAGATTCAAGCCTATATAATCACCAATTCCCACAACAGTGTAAAGTTTGTAAAAAATTTGATCCAAACATAATAGAGCTTTTGAAAGACGTGCTAAGAAATGTATAGATATTGCCTTTAATATGACTGTTAAAAGTCCCATAACTCTAGAACAGCAAACCAGAAAATTTTCAAAATCAGAAGCAAGCCTTCATTCACCAATCCCATCAACAGTGTAAAGTTTGTAAACTTTTGATCCAAGCATTCTAGAGCTATTGAGTGACATGCTAAAAATTAAATTAATATATCTATTAAAAGTCCCATAACTCTCAAACACAAATAATCAATAATTGTAAATTACCCACCAGACATGGCGTCTTCAGGTTTCAAAGACAAAATCAGACATTTTCCAAATCAGAAGCAAGCCTGCATTCACCAATACCAACAGCAGTGTAAAGTTGATGGGAAATTGATCCAATTATTCTTGAGCTGATGTGCATATCAAATTTCATGGTCAGAGAAAAGGCCAGATTTTTTAAGCGTCCCTATTTTTGTTCTTTCATAATAATGTAATCAATGAAATATTAACTCCTGGCATGATAAATTCATTTTAATAATCACCAATTATATTTACAGCTTTATCCATGTAAATTTGGAAACTGTACTGAAACATATACATGTGCCAGACTTCTGAGAAACCATGTGTCTGAACATCACACAAAGAGACAACTAGTATTTGACTATAAAAAATGTCAGTACAGGCATTGTGAAAGACTATTCTCCAGCCAGGAGTCTAGAAAACAGCATGTTAGAGAATTTCATATAGATCACAGTATAAAAAGAGAGGTATTTTAACATGTCGTACACTGTATTTCATTTCTATACCACTTTTGTTGTGTAATGGGGGGCATTAAGTTTACCATTGTCTGTCCATCTGTCTCTTATGGTGGTACAATAGATTAATGTAGGTCTGCCCTTGTTGTCCTTCAGTGGTTTCTTTGGTTTAACTGATTGATATTCTAGAAAACTCACACATATTTGTTTCCACATTTGCTTTTTATAGCCCTGTCAACTTAAGTCAGGGCCATATAGTTTTACCATTCGCCATTCCGTCATTCTGCAACAAACAGTTATACAGACTTTTTATGACCCCACCGTAGCGGAAAGGGCATCAAGTTTTACCCTTGTTTTCTAAATGCCTTCACATAGTATGTGAGTCTACTATACATCTGTCTGACACATCTAGTTTAAACTGTAAATTCAGAAACTTTTGCTATGGTTTTATTATTGTGAAAATTGTGTAACTAGTCAAGAAAATGGGAAACCTGTATTTCTGCCCTACCATTTGCCTGAAAATTAAATAATATCAATTTTACTGTACTTCACAGAACCTGGTACTTGATTTGACATAAAGAAATTGAAGACTTTTTAAATCAGTCTTGATATGGACCATTAAACATATGTCAAATTTAACTAGTTGACTATGGTCATATTTTTGGTATTTGAATGTGGGTGTCAATTTTTTTTTCCCTCAAGATTTAAGAAATTGTCAATTTTCCAAAGAAAAATTGGGGTCACAATTTATTTTGCTAATTCTTTGTATATAGTCTGAAAACAGATTTACTAAGTATTGGGCAACAGCACAATGTATTGCACAACATCAAGAAATCTTCAACTGAATATAAATTCAAATCATATAACCAATTTCAAGTTCTTTGACTACATTTATTCTGTGTCAGAAACCTATAATGTGTCAAGTATTTAATTACAATCCAAATCCAGACCTGTATTAAGCTTGAATATTGTGTCCATTTTTGCCCCAACTGTTCAGGGTTGGTCCTCTGCAGTCGTATCCAGCTGCGCTCGGCGAAGCAGTTTATTGTTTGTTGTTTTGGAATGAATTTCACAATAATAATACAAAAAATCGATTTTAATTTTTATACAGCATTTTCTGAAATCCTGATAACTTATTTTGCATTTTTGTTAATTGTTCAACATTTTTAATAATAAGTGCACACAAAATTATTTGAACTTACAGTACTTATTTAACTTTCACTATTTTACCTACTGTATTGACGGTTGATGATTGATATACTTCACAGAACCTGGTACTTGATTTAACATAAGGAAATTGAAGACTTTTTAAATCAGTCTTGATATGGACCATTAAACATATGTCAAATTTAACTAGTTGACTATGGTCATATTTTTGGTATTTGAATGTGGGTGTCAATTTTTTTTCCCTCAAGATTTAAGAAATTGTCAATTTTCCAAAGAAAAATTGGGGTCACAATTTATTTTGCTAATTCTTTGTGTATAGTCTGAAAACAGATTTACTAAGTATTGGGCAACAGCACAATGTATTGCACAACAGCAAGAAATCTTCAACTGAATATAAATTCAAATCATATAACCAATTTCAAGTTCTTTGACTACATTTATTCTGTGTCAGAAACCTATAATGTGTCAAGTATTTAATTACAATCCAAATTCAGACCTGTATCAAGCTTGAATATTGTGTCTATTTTTGCCCCAACTGTTCAGGGTTGGTCCTCTGCAGTCGTATCCAGCTGCGCTCGGCGAAGCAGTTTATTGTTTGTTGTTTTGGAATGGATTTCACAATAATAATACAAAAAATTGCATTTTAATTTTGATAGCGTTATTTGTATACAGCATTTTCTGAAATCCCGATAACTTATTTTGCATTTTTGTTAATTGTTAAACATTTTTAATAATAAGTGCACACAAAATTATTTGAACTTACAGTACTTATTTAACTTTCACTATTTTACCGACTATACTAACAGTTGATGATTGATATACTTCACAGAACCTGGTACTTGATTTAACATAAGGAAATGGAAGACTTTTTAAATCAGTCTTGATATGGACCATTAAACATATGTCAAATTTAACTAGGTGACTATGGTCATATTTTTGGTACATATTAAATTTGCAATAACATCTCATTTAATGGTGATTATTTTTATATATATATATATATATATATATATTGTTCCAGCTGAATAAAGGGCCTTTAATCAGCAGCATGACATTCACATACACAAACATCACTATGATTTCGTAACACATTTTCACATTGAAATGAAATATTAAATGTTTATATAATTAAACCTACATATATTTCTTTATCTCAAAATTAATCATGTTCATTTTTTTCCAGACATGACCAATTACAATAAACAACATTATTATGTAATACTACATTAATTCACATTTCGGCTAACATCTAGACATTTAATTATATAATTTCATAAAATATTTTAGGACAGACAAATTTTCAGTAGTAAACAACCAAATAAATCTTGCCTCATTTGAAAGAAACAGTTTTAAAAAATGGTTAGGTAGTAGATTACTCATATTTAGGGCTTGTATATAATGACTTTATCATATGTGTATGTAGTTTCCATGCAGACATTCATAGTACATGTAGTCAGTTTTACTCTCCAATAATGGACCTATGTTCATACGTTAACTACTTGGACCTTTTGATTTTTGTTGAAAAACCTTTAATTGATCAGATTATATATTATTTGGACAAACCAAATCATCGATTGCTGAAATTATTCAGTTGAAACCAAAGAAAAAAACTTCAATATGATTGATTGGTGTCCAGTAGTAGTTTAGGCATGGAAGTATTATATTGACTTCCATGGTTTAGGAAATCCTTTCCTTAATATATTTTGTGGTCAGATAAAGTTTTCTGGAGTAGGGAAATTCCTCAGTAGCAAAAAAATAAGAAATGTGTTGTAATATGAATTTGTTGGCTTTTTGATATTTTTCATATATGGCTGTAACCACATTTTCACAGAAAAGCAGTGAGGCATGACAGAAAACCACTATAGTTGGATGTGTATTGCCCTATGGATTATATGTCAATCTGAGATATGTTTTTAACCTCATTTTCATTCTCCAAATCTCTTAAACTTGATAGGCAAAATTTAAAAAAAAATTTTAGGTCAATTCAGTATATATACACACATGCATGCATCTTACAACATCACAGAATGAAACTTACTGTGAAAGTTCTTTAATTTGTGGGCATCAATTTTTGTGGTTTGAGCAAAAATTTCATGTTCGTTGGTTCTTTAATTCGTGGATTTTAGTTTTCTGAAAATAATCCAGTGAAGAATTTGAAGCCATAAGAAATGAAGATTCTTGAAAAAAATCATATGTTGTTTTATAATGATTTGTGGGACATCGCAAAATAAGGTGTTCATTTTCATTTACTTGTTTGTCTATCATTACTGACAACATTCATCAAATTTTTAATAAAATAATGGCTTTCAGAAATAAGCTGATTCATCTATGCCTACAAATTGTCTTGATTGAAAGAAATTGCAAAGTAATCATTTTAATTGTTGCACATGTGTAATCAGAAGTCAAAGGTGTTAATTGGGCCATAAACATGTCACTTAACGGTTACATAAAAAATGCTACAAGTTTACTTTGAGTTGTAGAATTAATTCTTATGAACTGAAAAAGTGAGTCCAATCTGAAACTTTTTTTTTTTTTTACATATGAGAATTAAAAGGTTTAAAGTCTTACAGTTTTGGTTTGTTTTAAAGATTAAATGGGTAAAATCCTGTCTGAAGTAATATATATATAGTTCATTGTGTGTTTGCTGATATTCGATGTATTCTTTAGATTATATGCCCGTATCCATATAGTCAAACCTACATGGGGATCTTTCCATGTCTTGATTTGGACAACAGTTATTATATTTCGTTGGACACTTAAATTCATGGATAAAGCCATACATGAAAACCACGAAAATTGGCACCCCACAAATAAAAGTACTTTCACAGTAACACTGATTTTGTACTTACATGAGCTCAGTCTTTAGTTTTGTATGTTGTTTGTAGACTGATCATTGTCTTTTTGTCGTATATTGTTTTTTTGCCGTGGCAATGTCAGTGTGTCTTCATCTTATGAGTTAGAATATTCCTTTGATATCTTCAACTATTACAAGATTCTTTTAAAAAATAGCACTTCATTTTCTGTCAGATAGGAGGGATATATTAACCAATAAATAGCTACTATTTTATGTAAGTTGTAATTAGAATTGATTTTTTTTGTAGGATGGATATGGTGCTTTATGGATTATAAAGAGCTCACCAAACGACAAGTTAGGGAACAAGCAAGGGATGCACAAAAATGAACGCATCCATGAAAATTGTTTTCAGGAAATCAGGAACTTCTTTGTGGAAGTTTACGAGGTCACACGAATAATTGTCTCTTCTGGTGATTACTTTGTATCGTTTTGTGAAAACTGTGCATACTATGATGCTCCAAGAGATTTTGACGTACTAAAATATGGCAAATTGTGTAAAGATGAGAAACAGTGTGATGTCTCTTACGTATGTCGGGAGATCAAAAGTGCGTATGGAGATTTTATTGTTGATATCAACAATGTTAAAAGCAGAATGTTGAATAGTGGGGTTTTATTTCATGATTTTCATTTCGGTTGTTGTATTTTTATTGATGATGTTGAAACCCGATCAGAAATCAAGGAAGACAATGGTGAAAAATCAATGGATTCTGAAATTGATATACCTATATTAAAAAAGATTAAACCAACAAAAAATGAATTACAAAAATCTATTTCTGAAAATATTAAACCAAAAGATGTGGAAGCTGACATTGGAGATTTGGTTTTTTTGTATGGTAAACCTAATCCTAACTATTCTCCAGCCTGTCCTGAAACTGTGGAAGATAATTTAGACAGTCCAGAAGGGGAGATAATTTACCATGATGAAAATGATCAAGATAATTATGCTGTTTTAAGTTGTGATGCATTTCCAAGTGAGTTGAACAGTTCAGCAGAACCAGCTGAAGAAGATATAGACAGGAAAAATGTCATAAAAGTTGAAAGTTATTGGGAAGAATTTGGTGATGATTCTATAAAAAGAAGTTTAAACATTTCCACAGATGATCAAACAGTTAACAGAAGTATGAAGCCAGAACCTATTAATGAAGAAATGGTTCTGACTGAAAATGTGAAACAGGAAAAAGTCAATAGTGGTAAAACTAAATCAGATAAAATTAGGTCATCAAAGTCTTCGAAGAAGGGAGGTAGTAAAAACATGAAAAAACCATCCCAAACCGAGGAAAATAAAGTTCATACTTGGAAAGAAGAGGAAATAGGGAGTTGTATTTCAATACCAGATTCACATTTGGTAACAAGTGACTTCTTATCTGAAATCTCAGAAAATTTCATTGACAGTGGTTTGAATGTAGTAGAAGATACATATAGTAAGGTTCAGAAGTCCTCTGATGTTATCTGTGATACACTGGAAGGGGGATCTACCAGTATAAAAAAAGATCCAAAGTCTCAAAAGAGTTTAAACAAAGATTCCAAGTCTCAAAAATGTTTTATTGAAGATTCCAAGTCTCAAAAATGTTTAAACATTCCTAGTAGTGGTGGTAGTGCCTTCAAAAGGAGTTTGAGTGTACCTCCGGGTGACAAATCCGTTAAACAAAGAGAGAAAAAGCAAAAAATAAATGATAAACAAAACAAATTCTCTTCCAAATGCTCAAGTAGTAGTGAACAGAATAGTGCTAAAGAGGAAAAGAAAGAAACGTTCAGTAAAAAGCCTTATGGTTCATTGCTTAATATTGAAGGAATTAAAACCAACAAAAAAAGCAAAATCACTGGCCGTTATTCATATGGAGATGTTATTGCAATTAAAGTGGACAAAAGTGGAAGAAATCAGTCTCAAAGGTTGTTGTTAGATGAAACACAAAAAAGTCATTTAAAAAATCAAATTGATGATACAGATGATGATGATGATATTATAGAACTAGATATTGGTAGTACTAGCAAGGTCAAACTCAACAGAAGTCAAAGTGAAAATGATATCAGTAAAAATGTACATCACGATATAATAGAAATAGATGTAGATCACAATCACAAAAACTCTCATAGCAGAAATGTATATAAGGATGATATAATTGTTATAGATACCGGTGAGAATCTCGAAGACATGCATAATATAAAAGGACATTCCAATGACAATCCTGTACACCTACATAAAAGGAAAAGACACTCCAATGACAAAACAGATTTAGATATCGGTGACAATATTAGAAAGTCATATAATGAAAGTAGAATGTCACTTCATAACTCAAATCTTAATAATGGGAAAAACAAAAGTACCAAAACACTCAAGTCACATGACGAAGTGATACAAATTGATAATGATGATGACGTCATGTCACATGACCTGTATACTAATCATAAAAAACTAAAAAAAGATGAAATGTTAGATGATTCTGACGATACTGATGATTATACTCATGAAGAGTACAGTGTACAGTCTCCTTCTGATTTTAAAACAAAAAAGGATTCTTCAATCAAATTTAAAGAGAAAAATTGGAAATTGTCTGACAAAACTGATTGTCAAAATAGGAAATTTCTGGACAGCAAAAGAAAACAGGTTGATAAAAGTAATCACAAAATTGATCATACCAAGAAAAAATCTCAACCTTTTCAACAGAAAAAGAAATTTTGTGAATGGAAATTTCCGAAGAAAACTAATCTTTCAAGTTCCAAAGTTAAAAAAGAAACAAATTCTGTGATTGAATTAAATTCTATGCAGAATGTCTGTGATAATATAAAATCTGAATCATTCCAAAAACATTTGTCACATGGTGAAAGTTTGGTAAATGAGGAAGGCACTGTAAATGAAAATGGATCTGATTTAAAACATGAAAAAGAAAAATGGGTGGTAGAGGGACATGAAATTAAGGATTGTAAAATTAAAGTTTTTAAATTAGATGACAGCGATGTGGATTATGTTTGTCAGGAACTAAAATCAGGACATAAAACAAATTATGCAAATTACCTTTATTCTATGCAGAAATTAGATGCACGTAATTTTGATCAACTAATGAATGGCTGCTTAAAATTAGATATGAAGCCTAGAAGGTTGAAAAGAATTGTAGAAATTTGTAAAAAATTGTTTGAGATGAATAAATATTTTCATGATAATCCTCATAAAAGAATAGAATGTTCAAGAAAAAGAAAATCAAACTCATTTAGGCCAAATGGAGAGTTAAAGAAGAGAAAAAGTGATAATAATGTATTGGAATTTGTGGATCTTGATTGGATAATGGATTCGGATGATTCAGTGTCAATATCTGAAGATGATGATGAAGACACAGATTTTGATGATTTGGATTTTACAGACGTAAGATACATACAATGAAATAGTAAATCATTGGATCATTTGGTAATCATGGTTTTTAGGCTTTATTCTGTTGTTTGGGTTGCTGTCTCATTAACATATATCCCAAATCACCTTTTTTTCATTAACATGAGATTTATCACATGAAAAACAGGAAAGGGTCAAATGAACAGTGTTTACATTGCTTTATGTAATCTGAAAATTGCAGCAAGGCCTTTAATAAGTAAAACTATACTTGAGAGTAAGACAGCTCTTGTTTTTATATAAGGAGAATTCTTTCAGTATTTGACTTTTATAGGTTTCTTTTACAAAAACTTTTTGGTCTTTTGATAAACAATTTGACATTTATAATCTCTATCATGTATATATATAGTGTAGATCCTGATGCAGAGCTTGCCTGGATATTTTGATCAATGTAAACACTGTATGTATTATGTATTATGTTGCAGAATGACTTGTTTTGCCCAGAGCCTGGATGTACAAAGCGATTTGCCAGTTCTGTGACTCTTGAACATCATATAGCAAGGAAACATGATGATCAGCTATACGAAGAAGTAAGTTACTTTTATCACAGTGTGAAAATCACTTTTCACTTTTCCTGAAATAACCTTTCTTTCTAAATAAGTGCTCATCAACCATCTTGAGGATTCAATCATACATCTAAAAAGCTATATATATCTGAAACCTGTCTACATACCTTGACAATAACAGTAACCTTTTCATAGCTTACATAAGTAAGTCATGTAAGTAGTTAGGAAAATCAATTAAACCCAACAACACAAAAAAACAAAAACAAAATATTTAAAGGTCATGGTCATAACACAGAAATGTTTATAGCTCAAAAATATCAAGCTTCCACAAGTCTATACAAATTTTGAAAAAAAATTAACAGATACAAGCAAAGAGTGGCAACAATGTATTAGTTTGTGATTAGGTCTAGTTTATGGTGAACCACTAGTAGTAGGTTAATGATATTTAGAGTGCAGTTGTATTAGCATTGGCACATCTCATTGCCATGGAGATTATTTGGCCCTGCCCCCTCAGTCATGGTCTATTGACTTTGAAACTTTTGCTTAATTTTCATGTATTTGTGATTAGGTCAGTTTTTGGGGAACCACTAGTGGTAGGTCAATGATATTTGGTAAGCAGTTGTATAAGCATTAGCATATCTCATTTCCATAGAGAATATTTGGCTCCGCCTCCTCAGTCATGGTCTATTGACTTTGAAACTTTTGCTTAGTTTGCATGTATTAGTTTGTGATTAGGTCAGTTTATGGGGAACCACTAGTGATATTTGGTATGCAGTTGTATAAGCATTGGTATATCTCATTTCCATGGAGATTATTTGGCTCCGCCCCCTTAGTCATGTTCTATTGACTTTGAAACTTTTGCTAAGTTTACATGCATTAGTTTGTGATTAGATCAGTTTAAGATGAACCGCTAATATTAAGTAAATAATATTTGGTATGCAAATTTATTGGCATTTGCAAGTCTCGTTTCCATGGAGATTACATAGCCCCATCCCCTCATCAAGGTTCATTGACTTTGAAACTTTTACATAGTTTAAAAGTTAATGTTTGTGTTTAGGTTTGTTTTAAAGGGAACGACTTATGATAAGTCAATGGTATTTGGTATGCAGTTTAGCATTAGCATTGGCACATCTCATTTCCATGGAGATTGTTTAGCCATGTACCTTCAGTCATGGTTCATTGACTTTGAATATTTGCATAACTTACATGTTAAAGTACAAAAAAAATGTATTGTTATTTTAATTTCAACATTTGCATTATCAAAATTACAAAAAGGTGAGACATATCTCTGTGTTAACAGTTTATTTATTCTTCCTCCAAGTTTTATTTTAAATCAGAGGCAGTATAGTTTTGTCATTTAAATAGAAATCAGCAAGTTAGCATCATAAAAATTCGACAAAGCTCTATGACTGTGACTAAAGAGATACATATTGAAACATATACCAAAGGTTTAATGTTATATATTTGTAGAGAAAGTTCTGTCCTGTTGAAAGCTGTGAGAGGAGTTACTCAAACAAACATAACCTAATGACACACATTAAAAAGGACCATGGTGAAGTTGTTTACAATGAAATCAGATCAGAACTATATGGTGTGAAACCTGAACCTGAATCAGCGGTAAGCCTTGGGGTTATAAACAACAGTGGTGTTTACAAGAGGGGTTATAGACAACAGTGGTGTTTACAAGAGGGGTTATAGACAACAGTGGTGTTTACAAGAGGGGTTATAGACAACAGTGGTGTTTACAAGAGGGGTTATAGACAACAGTGGTGTTTACAAGAGGGGTTATAGACAACAGTGGTGTTTACAAGAGGGGTTATAGACAACAGTGGTGTTTACAAGAAGGGTTATAGACAACAGTAGTGTTTACAATAGGTCCGATTAGAGCCGTATGGTCTACATCTCTAGAACTTTATAAAATAGTCACATTAATCCTGCTACCTTTAAGTCACATTTCAGCAGAATGAATTTAACAAAAAACATACTTACTATAAAACTTGGAAGATTTTTGCATCTTTTGAAATTATATACTCAATTGCTAAATTCAAGTGTTGTGCTATACAAAATGTTCTTTCTTTTCTTCTTTTTTTTTGCAGGCAGTGGGACACACCATACATATTTCCAATGAAAAGTGGCACTCATTTAGTATAGATATTACTTTTTTTTCTTAAATTGTTTTTTTTATATTTAAAATGTGTTGAAACTAAGCTCTGTCTATATATTTTTTCAGATGGTTCGACCAGCAGGAACCTGTTTAATGCCAACAGTTTGGCGAAATCCTCTACATTTAATACCATCACATGTGAAAGAAAAAATGTCTAAGACTTCAACTACTGAGCCTCCTAAAAATGTCAAGGAAGTGGAGGACATCAAAAATATTTTATCAGATTTTACTCAAACTGGACGAGGGTCTTCTTACTCTATTTTATCAAATAAATAATATATATATTTCTAAAAGGACTTATGACTATTTGTATGAAATGTAGAACATTTATGTGTTTGAAAAGCCAGAGTTTTTGTCGAGCCTGCGACTTTTGTCGCAGAAAGCTCGACATAGGGATAGTGATCCGGCGGCAGTGGTGGAGGCGTTAGCTAACTTCTTAAAAGCTTTGTATTTTAGAAGCTAGAAGACCTGGATGCTTCATACATTGTATATAGATGCCTTATGATATGAAGTTTCCGTCTGTCATATGTCCATTGTCCTTGACCTCATTTTCATGGTTCAGTGACTACTTGAAAAAAAAAAGTCAACATTTTTAGTAATGTTTATTTCTTATTATGAGTAATAGGATAACTATATTTAGTATGTGCATACCTTGCAAGATCCTCATGCCCGTCAGACAATTTTCATTTGACCTCAACCTCATTTCATGGATCAGTGAACAAGGTTAAGTTTTCGTGGTCAAGTCCATATATCAGATACTATAAGCAGTAGGTCTACTATATTTAGTATATAGAATGATTGTAAGGTGTACATGTCCAACTGGTAGGTGTCATCTGACCTTGACCTCATTTTCATGGTTCAGTGGTCAAAGTTAAGTTTTTGAGTTTTGGTCTTTTTTTCTAATACTATATGCAATAGGACAACTATATTTGGTGTATGGAAATATTTTATGATGTACATGTCAGTCTCGCAGGTTTTATTTGACCTTGACCTCATTTTCACAGTTCATTTCTCAAGTGTTAAGTTTTTGTGTTTTGGTCTGTTTTTCTTCAACTATAAGCAATAGATCAACTATATTTGTTGTATGGAAGGATTGTAAGGTGTATATGTCTGTCTGGCAGGTATCATCTGACCTTGACCTCATTTTCATGGTTCATTGGTCAATGTTAAGTTTTCATGGTTAAGTTTGTTTCTTAGATACTGTAAGCAATCGGTCAACTAGATTTAATCCATACATTGATTGTAAGGTGTACATGTCTGTCTGGCATGGTTCATCTGACCTTGACCTCATTTTCATGGTTCATGGGTCAATGTTAAGTTTTCTTGGTTAAGACTGTTTCTTAGAAACTATAAGCAATAGGTCAACTATGTTTGGTGTATTGAATGATTCTAAGGTGTACATGTATTTCTCGTTTGGTTTATCTGACCTTGACCTCATTTTCTTGGATCATGTTAAGTTTATGTGTTACTTGTAGTAAAGCTTTATATTTAGGACTATCAACAGAAAATCAATGGTTTGTAAAGAAGGCGAGACATTTCAGCGTGTGCACTCTTGTTTTTATTGGTTTAATTAAATTTTTACACTTTTTTTTTAGTCTCAGGGTGTTTAAGATCTGGACATATTGGATAGACTCCTGTCTATTACTTCTAAGAATCTTTAATCTTTAGATATTTTTTGGTTATTTGTGTCGTTGGGTTGTTGCAGTCTCGTTGATGTATACCCCCATTTCCATTTATTGTCCCCAGCCTTGAATTTGAGCTGGAGATATGGAAATACTAATGTCCTTCACATCTGTCTGTCCTTTCACAATGTCAAGGTTAGCATCCCAATCAATGATTTTAAGGGGCAGTTCCTTTGGAAATATAAATAATATAGAATAGGACATTGTAAGTTCTCTCCTGTCAATATTTCTGTTGAAATTTAAGGATTTATATCAAAAGATTTACATCAGGAAACAATTAGAGTTCATCCATTTCTATGCCCCCGCAACTAAAAGTTGGGGGGCATATTGTTTTACCCCTGTCAGTCTGTCCATCCATCCCATTATGGGTATATAGTTATTTCACATAACTCCTCCTACAGTTTGAATGCTATGAAGTTTTCACTTTGCTGGCTGTTTGTACATAAATTGGTGTGCATGTGATCAGGATTTTGATTTTTATTAATATTTGCTCTTTTGGGAGATAGTTGAACTTTGTCATTTTTTGGAGTATTTACTTGCTAAAGAGGTGCATAGTGTTTCCAAAAAAATTCTGCTACAGTTTGAATGATAGGAAGTTTTCACTTTGCTGGCGGTTTGTACATATATTGAATGTGTGCATGTGGACAAGGTTTTGATTTTTATTATTATTTGCTCTTTTGGGAGATAGTTGAACTTTGTCGTTTCGGAGTATATACTCGCATAAGAGGTGCATAGAATTTCGAGATAACTCCTCCTACAGTGATCCATAGACCTTTGTGCTGCCATGCTCAACTTTTTATACGACCGCAAAAAAATTTTGTGGTCGTATATTGGTATGACGTTGGCGTTGTCGTCGTCCAAAGACACATTGGTTTTCACATTCTAACTTTAGTTTAAATGAATGGATCTTTATGAAATTTTACCATAAGGTTCAATACCACAAAAGAAAGGTGGGGATTGATTTTGGGGGTTATGGTACTAACAGTTAAGGAATTAGGGGCCAAAAAGGGGCCAAAAATAAGCATTTTTGTAACTTCCAGACATAACTTGTGTGTTAGTGTATGGATCTCTCTGACATTGTACCACAAGGTTCCATATCACAAAGGGAATGCTGGGATTGATTTTGGGGGTAATTGCCTCCTAATTTTAGGAATTAAGGGCCAAAAAAGGGCAAAAAACAAGCATTTTTCTAGTTTCCAGACAATAACTTGTGTTCAAGTGTATGGATCTCTCTGAAATTGTACTGCAAGGTACCATACCACAAAGGGAAGGCTGGGATTGAGTTTGGGGGTGATGAATCATAAGGAGGTTCAAAAAATTTGGGGGGGAGATTTTTTTTCCTTTTTTTTCTTTAAAATTTTCCATTTTAAATTGGTTATTTCTGATTAAAATATAAAAGCAAATAATAATGATATGGTTTGAATAGGTAAATAAAATTTTTTTAAGTTCTTAGACCACATTCATTTTGTGTCAGAAACCTATGCTGTGTCAAATATTTAATTACAATCCAAATTCAGTGCTGTATCAAGCTTGAATGTTGTGTCCATACTTGCCCCAACTGTTCAGGGTTCGACCTCTGCAGTCGTATCAAGCTGCGCCCCAGCGGAGCATTTTATTGTATTTTAAAATAACACTTTGCATCTGCGGGGGCATCATTTGTGTCTCACAGACACAATAATATCTCAAAGAAAGTCTTACATTGACTTTATAATACAGATACTTCAGAGTGGAGTGCGGGCGCATCAATTTGTCTAGTTTTGGATTACTTTGAAATGTTAATTTGGAAAATCATTATTGTAAGTGCTCTTATGTCTTGAAGTTTAAAGAAATTCTTGTAAAGGTTATCATCACAAATATCTTGGATACTTTTGAAATCAGTGCTGACTGACTATTAACTTGGAGTTGTGTCCCTTTGAAATCTTAATGATATGGAAAATCGGCAATATCTTAGACAAGTTTGAAAGTCAATGCAGTTCAAATATTTTAGAAAGAGTTATGCCCCTTGGAAATGTAATTAATATTGAAAATCAGCAGTAAAAGAACTTGATTGCATGGTGTCACCTTTGGATAGTTTGTTTTGGTGAACATCGGTACAAGGACATCATTCGTAAATATAAATCAACATGCAGACATCTTATACGTTCATGTATTTCACATCCAATCTTTTATGGTAATATTCTATACAAAGCACAAAAATGTTGTCGTTCACCTCAAAAGCTAACCAAACCTTTAAACAGACTTATTCAGAAGGGATATAGTTACGGTACTGTTGTCAGGTCATTAAAGATGGCATATTTTGGAATTAATATTGATTCACTCATAGGGTCTTTGCATCGGAAATAAACATATTTATTCTAAACCCAGTTGTTGGCATGATACGGGTTATGTTCTTCTCATATATTTTATGATGGTATGATACTAAACCCCTAACGGGAGGGATTGTGCTTGATTTTCATATGATGAAGACATAATCTTTCAATCAGTTTAATTGATGTCTGGAGCTGGCATGTCAGTAACTGCTAGTAGTCCTTTGTTAATTTATGTATCATTGTCATTTTGCTTAAGTTTCTTCTGTTTCCTATTTGACATTGGACTCAAACTTCTTTTAAACTGAGTTTTATTGTGCGTATTGCTGTGTGTTTGTTTATTCTTCATTGGCTAGAGGTATAGGGGCAGGGTTGAGATCTCACTAAACATGTTTAACACCGCTGCATTTTTGCGCATGTCCCAAGTCAGGAGCCTCTGGCCTTTGTTAGTCTTGTATGTTTTTTTAATTAGTCTCCTTCCGATGAAGTCGAAGGCGACTTTAGGTTTGCACTCAGTCCGTCTGTCTGTCCGTCTGTCTGTCCTTCTGTCAGTCCGGCAAATCAGCTTTCCACACTTTTTTTCTTCGTTCTTGAAGATATTGATTTGATATTTGGTATATAGTTTTATCATGACAAGTTATAGATCAAGTTCAAATTTTGTTCCGGTCTGATGTTTTAATCCAGAGTTATGGACCATAACTCTGGACCATATCTTATGTTAGAGTACTGTGTTAAACCATATTTCTGTACAAAGGGAGATAACTATTTCTTTAAAAGACATTCTTTGTTCAATTATTTGAAGAATTTTTTGGCAGGTTTGTTAGTTATTTAGTATAAACTAATTTTCCGAATGCTATATATATAAAAAAAAAATATGAAGAGAAATCCTTAAATTAGATAATAATCTATTTTTATTATGTATATATTTCAATACATTATATTGTGTAGATAAAAGTTGTTGACATTTTATAGATAAGTTACAAATCTATATTAGTTTGTGACAAATGAAAGAAAAAATATTTGGAACTATTAATTATATTTGATTATAATTTGAAAATAGATATACACTGTATTACATCATATCTAATTTTAGAGAACTATTAATCATATCTAATGTTTTTTTCATCATGGTTATACGATATTGATTGATAATTGGTATATAGTTTTATCATGACAAGTTACAGATCAAGTTCAAATTTTTATTTCGGTCTAATAATTTTGTGCAGAGTTATGGTCACTCATATAATCAGTTTTCCACACTGTTTTTAGTCATGCTTGAAGATATTGACATGATATTTACTTTTTGTTTACACCATGGCAAGTTATATAACAAGTTAGCATTTTGTTCCAGTATAATGAATTTTTACCCGGTAGGGGACTATGTATTGCCATGCAATACTCTCAGAATGCTTGTTATATTTCATTTATATATTTCGGAGTTTAGTGTGACGTCCAATTTTACTGAACTAGTACACTGTACTACACATTTTTGTTTAGGGGCTAGCTGAAGCCTGCCTCCAGCAGTTTTCTGATCTTTAGTCAGTTGTTGTCTCTTTGACACATTCCCCAATTCCATTCTCAATTTTATTGTATTCTTATTTTGTCATCTTATTCATGTTTACCTTACATTTAAGTTTTATTCATACATGACACACAAATGATCACAAAGAAACAGAAAGATACACTAACTGCCCTTTCTGATTCCTATTTTACCATAAAAATGTTTATGTAGATCAGTGGGTTCTGTTTTAAACTTTTATCTTTTTCTTAATATTTTTTATCTTAATATGAACAAGATTTCTAGAGAAGCAAATATTCCCCGCCAATATCTTTGAATATTCAGCATCACTTATATTTTCAGTAGGCATAGTTCCTTCAAAAATAATCAATCTGTTCTGATTTTCAAATTCATCAGATATTGATGATGTACTTCTTTGACATAAATTTCACTAACACCAAATCAAAGTGTAAGTGAGAGCAGCTAATACACATATAGTTTTGATAGAATGCAGTAGATACATGTATTGGTTTCAAACCAAGTTATTTACTCCTTGGTCAATGATTCACCATTGTCCATAATTAATTAGGTATACTTAGATCAATTTTCAGCAGACTTCAGTTTACTACTCACTTAGAAATTGTTTACATAAGATGGTTTCGGCTTGCTTTTAAGCCCATTTTGATGGTAAATCAAAGTTTACGTAAAAAGGTAGGCCCAAACTATCTTATGTAAACATTGTCATGCAATGGGAGTAGTAAGCTTAGGTCTGTGTAAAATTCACATAAAACGCTAAAATAAAATAAAGTTTGTGAATCATAAATAGATTTTTCAGGATGATATTCTAATTTCTTTATGATGACCAAATCAAAATGGCACAACATACAAGTTTTAGATGCTTTGATACAATGTACTACATGTATAAGCTAGTCTCTGATGTAAACATATTACTTATTTCAATGGCCACTACACCATGTCTCTGGAATAACCCTTATTAACTATGCTCAACACTAAAAGTACATAAAATATTGAACAGCATCCCAATGAAAAAGATGTCTTAAAGAATCAACTTAACCAGAATTATACCCATAGTCATTGAACCATTAAACTGAAGTCACATAATCCTTTGAAAGTACATTTTTCTGTGGTGGTTACATTGTGTTGTCAAATCTGCTGAATATGTCATTATCAAGATAGCTTTAATTTGGAACAACTAAATCATGAAATCATGAAATCAAAGTCAAACATTTAGAGATACATTTTTAGCTCACCTGGCCCGAAGGGCCAAGTGAGCTTTTCTCATCACTTGGCGTCCGTCGTCGTTAGCTTTTTACAAAAATCTTCTCTGAAACCACTGGGCTAAATTTAACCAAACTTGGCCACAATCATCATTAGGGTATCTAGTTTAAAAAATGTATCCGATGACCCCGCCTTCCAACCAAGATGGCCGCCATGGCTAAAAATAGAACATAGGGGTAAAATGTAGATTTTGGCTTATATCTCTGAAACCAAAGCATTTAGAGTAAATCTGTCAGAGGGTAAAACTGATTATCAGGTCAAGATCTATCTGCCCTGAAATTTTCAGACAAATCTGACAATCTGTTGTTGGGTTGCTGCCCCTGAATTGGTAATTTTAAGGAAATTTTGCAGTTTTTGGTTATTATCTTGAATATTATTATAGATAGAGATAAACTGTAAACAGCAATAATGTTCAGCAAAGTAAGATCTACAAATAAGTCGTCATGACCAAAATTGTCAGTCGACCCTTTTAGGAGTTATTGCCCTTTATAGTCAATTTTTCGTAATCTTTTACAAAAATCTTCTTCTCTGAAACTACTGAGAAAAATTTAACAATACTTAGCCATAATCATTATAAGGGTATCTAGTTTAAAAAATGTGTCCGATGACCCCGCCTTCCAACCATCATGGCCGACTTGGTTAAAAATAGAACATAGGGGTAAAATGCAGTTTTAGGTTTTATATCTCTGAAACTAAAGCATTTAGAGCAAATCTGACAGGTGGCAAAAATGTTCATCAGATTTAGATTTATCTGCCCTAAAATTTTCAGACGAATCCGACAACCCGTTGTTGGGTTGCTGCCCCTGAGTTAGTAATTTTACAGAAATTTTGCAGTTTTTTGTTATTATCTTAGATATCATTATAATATCTAATATCTAATACTATTAATTATGATTTTAACCTTATTTTACATGATTTCCAAAGTATCAGTAAATACAGGCGAGCGACACAGGCTCTTGAGAGCCTCTAGTTTATATGAAAATAAGGATATACGGTTTGATTGCCAATCAGAAAACTATCAACCAAAGAAAAGGACAAGGATGTGAACAACATGTCAGCATACAGCCTTCAATAATGAGAAAATTAATATCATATAGTTCATCCCTTGATGTAATTTTTGGTAATATCGCACAAATTATTTCCACATTAATGAAGAACTTAACCATGGAATTGAATGTCCCACACTCCCATGGATCTTATTTTTGATAGTTCATCTCTTGATGTGTCCATTGTTAAAGTTGCACTGTGATATCCCATAAATGACCCCAACGATCAATACATGACTTGACTAATTTCAGTCGCATTCATTCATCAACAAAGTGAGTAAAATAATAGACAGGGGAAGTATTAAACTTTTGAATTTAATGTCCCAGGTAGAGGTCACTCAGTGGCAAATTGACTTAAGCAAAAAATAAAAATCAGTATTGCTTCAAAATATTTCTCCATCTTAGATATCATTGATTCATTAATGAAGAGTATGATGTCTGTTAAGAACCATGTTCACATATCTCTGATTATAACTGGGTTTAATGGACTACTTGATCAGAATCCCTCATGTGTAACATGTAGGTCAAGATGATCCAGATCTACATTATAATGTAGTATAAAACATTATCATCCTGCGGTTTGGAATTAAATCTGAACCACCATACATGTACAAAGGTTAACTGGAATAGAAAGCTGAACAAAGCCTCATACAACACTGGTTTGGTAGAAGCATATAAAACAGCATCTTTAAACAAAACTGCCTGTGTAAAGATAATAAAAATCAAGTATATAATTCTTTATTCTCATGATAAAAACTCTTTCACGACTTTATAAAGAACCAGATATATATAATTCATTTTATTTACATAAATTTATAAATAAATATCACAGATAAATTTAAGTCTTCTCATGAGAACAAATTAAAAATTATATGGAGTTGTCTCCCTTAAAAACTGGTATTATCCCCATTATCTAAACCACTTGTCATCTTTTGATATACAATGATGCAAAAGAGAATTTTCTTGTCTCACATGGGTGAATGACTGCTACTTAATATTTTTAGAATGCACTGAACTAAATTCCATGTTGTGTTCCATGCTTTCTTAAAAATGGATCATATTTCATAGATATTTTTACTGTTGCAGAAAATATAATTAACAGTACAAAATTTAAACATGGGGCAGCATTACACTTTGACCTCACAAATATGTCAAAAAAATAAGCATGAATAATTAATAAAAAGGTAACACTTTTTGGAATGTATTTTTCAAACACAGTTAAGTTTTTCATGATAAGATACATGATTTATGATACACAGGCAGTGCATATCACAGAGAAATACTACACCTACACTCTCTCATACTTCCACTTATTCCTCATACAAGCACATGTACTCCTCACATTTTAATTTCCGTAAATTTTTCAATTGTGTCAACAATTTTCATTCTCATTTAGATTGTAGAATAGACAAAATAGTCACGAAGGTGAGCTAGCTTGTTAATTTTTCTTCTTATTTTGGCTGTTCAGATTTAGGTGCTTTAGCATTCATACTGATCGTATTTTCAGAATCTTTGTTGATTTCATTGTGTGCTGCTATCAGATATTTTCTTTGTGATCTTTTTACTGTAAAATAAACATAAATTATAGATATATTTCTGTTGCAATGCAATTTTCATTTTCTTTTATTATGATAATAATGGGTTTAAATAAATTCTGTAAAATGTTTTAGTACAAACATTCATATCTATTAAACATCTTTCAGTAACTTATTATGGTGTTATCAAAATGTCTACCTTAAATATGTCCATTTTATCTAAGAACGCTGTGAAACATTAGATTACAAATAAAGCAGTTTGGAACCAAAAGATAGCTTTTGACCCAATAATAACCACAATAAGTTTTGAGAGCATTCTGTCATAATAAAAGCTAGAGGTACTGTAGGAAAAACTAAGAAAGGGTACTCCCAGCCTCACAAAGAGAAGAGCAAAGTCTATGATTTTCTAAGGGAAACCCAAAAATTCAGATAAAAAATACAAAACAGGTGAAAATGGCTTTATATGAAAGCTGTTCACTCGAGATGAAGGGTGATCAAGAAAATGCAAAAACAAAGTTTGGATGATTGATTGTTGTCCAGTGTCAATTATTTCAGGACTATAACAGCATAGCTTATATAGGTCCAAAACAAGTGAGATAACTACAACAGACCACAAAATTCACGATTCCACTAAATTGACTACAACACATTAATAAAACTGACCAATTAAAAGTTGCAGCTTTCTCAAGTGTTATCAATTAAGCCTCATCTTATTATTTTCTTTTGACAACCCTACATACCACCGGTATCCACTAAAGGAAACTCTTCCAACACTAAATAAAGAAGGTGTTGGTTCAGGAAGTCTAAAATTTCACAATGCCAAACTCTCAAAGTGAGCAGTGTTGTTACAGTAACAAAGAAATATTACTTTGTTCCAGCTATGGTTCAATGTATTATATAAGTTCAATTTTGTTCAGCAGCATGTGTCATATATAAAAATCATCAAGTCAAAAAAGTGTTTGTTTGTCATCAGAATTCTGATTTGGAATAAAATATTAATTACCTTTTTCTCTCATTGTGGTTTTTTGTACTTCTGGTATCAGGAAGCAATGTACAAGGTCAGCTACTATTTCTTCAGAATCTAATTGAGTTCTCCTGGAATAAAAAGGGTAAACAATGTGAAGATGTACTAATATTTGTTATGAATGCAACTGTGTTCTCCTGGAATAAAAAGGGTATACAATGTGGAAGATGTACTAATATTTGTTATGAATGCAACTGTGTTCTCCTGGAATAAAAAGGGTATACAATGTGGAAGATGTACTAATATTTGTTATGAATGCAACTGGAGTCTCCTTGGATTAACAAAGTAAATAATGTACAAGAGCAACTATTTTTTCTGATTCAAACATTTCTGCTGGAGGTTAACAGAAACTGTAAAGTTGGATGTTTTGTGAAGGTTTATTTTTGCAAACATAAAGGAACTATCCTCTTGGTTTAAATTTCATCATTTTGGAAGATCAGAAGCAGGGTCAGGAAAATCACAAAAATAAAACACTTTACAGAAAATACTTGTAAATTAATTGTTCAACTTAAAGCATCATTTACTAAATTACAGTTTACAGTGTGAATAAATGGCTTCACAGAAGTAAAAAAAAATAAAGAAGTAATAATTTAAATGGAACATAAAAATGATCCAGTTATCTGTTCCTACTTTTCTCTATATTATAAACAACAAGAACTTGTGCGTGTTGTTGTGCAAGCATACACTCAATCGTCAAAGTCTAATAAAACAGGAACTGGATGTCTGTAAGATTCAAAAATATCACTCACAAACAACAACTCACCACTGTGAACATAATGACCACATATGCAGTTAATTTGTTCAGTAGTTCCTGAGAAAACTATGAAAAAAATTTTTTGGAACACAGACAAACAAAGGGACAAACAAATAGACTAGGAGATTGCAATATAACCCCACTGTTCCAGCTTTCTCAACTTACTTGTCCTCTATATCATAAGCGATATCGTTGATCTTTTCTGCTGTCTCCATGATTTCTGATCTGGCCTGTAAATCTGCAGTGTTGTCTACTGATCCCATGATAATGTCCTCCAAATAAGTCTGAACGCTGTTCTGGTGTACTTTTACAACCTGTAATTTAAACAGATACAAATCAGTTTCTTCTTACTTAAAAGCCACAGTAAAACTCATTATGAAGTTCCAAAACATATATCATTTCATTCGAAAATACAGAAGCTGAGTATTTTGTAAAGGAAATTACAGATGGACATACAGGCTAAGGTATTGCAGTATACCATCCACTCCTAAGGGTATAATGAAATATAGAAAAATTGGTAGCAAAGAGTTGATAAAGGTAAGAATAATAAAATTTGAAAAAATCTCCAAATTTGAATGATGAAACCCTGTGAAATTAGTATACTGATTTGATTCAGTGGTCTGTGTCTAAAATTGCAGGTGTAATATTTTTGCATTCTTGGTACTTGGAGATAGTTTTTCAACAGGATTTTTTTATAAAAAGGAGATGATTTGTATACATCAAGAATGCAGCATTGTTATTTAACATTATTTTCCATGCCATATATACCAAAATTATCTTTAAGTAAGCAGAATAATTTTTTATTTTGAAGTCTACATGTAAATACACATTTTTTTAATCATTACACTGAAATTTACCTGTTTGAAAATTTCATCTTCCTCTCTCCTTCGTCTCTCTTCTACTTGGCGACGCCCACTTTCTTCAGCTTCCCTTATTCTTCTTTGTCTTTCTGCTAACATTGAGAAAGCATGTATTCTTCTCTCTTCCTGAAGCCTAATCAATTCTTTACTTAAGAAATCAGCCATATCACCAAGACTGGCTCCCTCCATCTGACTAAGTGCTTCATCGACCAAGAATTCCTAAGCAAAGAACAAACAATCTCCAAAATTCAAAATTGCATTCAATCTTTCACAAACACATTTTACACAACAGATATATAAATTATCTAGTATTTTATCAGAAGATGGTGATAGTGTTTATTGGATAAAATAAAAGTCTTTAATCATTAGGACAGATTGTACATTAATAATAAATGAGATTGCATGAGAAATCTTAATTAAAAGGTAAATTTTCAATACAACCATGACAGGGAAAAGATTACATGATAAATACAGTCAGATTCCCAGATTCCTGAAAGGCACCCAAAGTACTACAGTAGACATGAACAATTAAGGGGAAATAACTCAACATGATGATAAGAAAAAACTTTGGTTTGTAGTACCATACTGATATTTTATGTGCATTTAAATAAAGGATTAGGAAAACATTACATTTACAATAAAAATAACTAAAAATTTTGAATTAATTACTGTAATCACACTGATGTTTTCATACTTTTCATGAAATTTGTTTCAGTTTACATTTCAGATTTTCAGACTGCAAAATTTGTCGAGTCCTGATTGATAACAGTGAGTCCAGCACTAGAGTTGCTGACTGTAAATTTGTCGAGTCCTGATTGAAAATAGTGAGTCCAGCACTAGAGTTGCTGACTGTTAATTTGTCAAGTCCTGATTGATAATAGTGAGTCCAGCACTAGAGTTGCTGACTGTAAATTTGTCAAGTCCTGATTGATAATAGTGAGTCCAGCACTAGAGTTGCTGACTGTAAATTTGTCAAGTCCTGATTGATAATAGTGAGTCCAGCACTAGAGTTGCTGACTGTAAATTTGTCAAGTCCTGATTGATAATAGTGAGTCCAGCACTAGAGTTGCTGACTGTAAATTTGTCAAGTCCTGATTGATAATAGTGAGTCCAGCACTAGAGTTGCTGACTATAAATTTGTCAAGTCCTGATTGATAATAGTGAGTCCAGCACTAGAGTTGCTGACTATAAATTTGTCAAGTCCTGATTGATAATAGTGAGTCCAGCACTAGAGTTGCTGACTATAAATTTGTCAAGTCCTGATTGATAATAGTGAGTCCAGCACTAGAGTTGCTGACTATAAATTTGTCAAGTCCTGATTGATAATAGTGAGTCCAGCACTAGAGTTGCTGACTGTAAATTTGTCGAGTCCTGATTGATAATAGTGAGTGCAGCACTAGAGTTGCTGACTGTTAATTTGTAGAGTCCTGATTGATAATAGTGAGTCGAGCACAAGAGTTGCTGACTGTAAATTTGTCGAGTCCTGATTGATAATAGTGAGTCGAGCACTAGAGTTGCTGACTGTATATACCTTGTGTTCATGTAATCTTCTCTGTCTCTGTAGAGCCAATGTAGCCTGTTTCTCCTGTAGTTTCATGGCATGTTCAGCATCTTGTAAGGCATGAGTACTTCGTAATTCCTTGATTAGTTCCATTCTCTTTTCTTTACCCTCAAATATCTACAAAAATGCAAAATATTACAATGCTATGTGATTAAATCACTAATGATGTTTTTGTGGGAAAATTTGTTCTCATTGTGACATAGCCAATGTATGCTGACGGTGTGTTAAACCCCCATCAATCAATCAATCTTATAATTTTGATATATTATTTCAAAAAATAAGCACACACAATTGGAAGATAAGTTAAAATTCATCTATTCTGTTAATCTTGCTGGATGCCATGTAATATGTTATGATACATTAAATACAGATAGTTGATTGAATTTAGTTTTCTCATTTTAAGAAACAGATTTAAATATGTAATTTGTATGTTATCGTGGAACAATGTGATATCAATTTTATAACTGTATCATTATGAATGAACAAACCATGTTCTGGATAGCTCGTCCTCTGATAACTTGCTGCAGGAATATGGTAGCAAGTTCTCTTTCTTCTTCTTCCTAACAATGGGAAAAAATACTTGTCATTAAAAACTGTCATAAAGTTACCTGGGACTATAAACAAAACAGGAGAGAAGTTTTTTTTACTTTGCCATCATGTGATTCAAATTATGCTACCTAAATTGCTTTCAAATTGTCATATGTGCAATTTTCACAATTTGTATGAATTTTACACAGAAAAACACCATTTTGTACCTTAAAAAAAATCTAAATGATAAAATTATAAAAATAAAATTAGGAAATAGCTCTTGTAAAATACTCTCAGAAAAAAAATACAGCATCATTGTACAAATTTTCTTTTTACATAACAAATTGATAATTTTTTTGTATATTCTTTTATGAAACTATATTATCTGAGTAATCTCCCCTTTTACAGCTTTTGTTCTATGCATAATATAATTGGCTTTACATAGTTTGTAAATCAAAGTAAACTTACTAATATACCAACTAACTTACCTCAGATGGTACATCAACAGATGGTGTAGGAGGTCTAGGAATGGGTTTTTCAATCTTCTGGAGAAACCTCAGTGGTTTAGGTTGTTCTTCACCTTTGGTTTGTTCAAACTTAATAGTCTAAACATAAAAACAAAATTATTCATGGCAATGCACTCAAGCTTGCATAAAATTAAGGTTTAAAAATTGGTAGTGTCAAATTCAACTTTTTTCATTCAATTTTTTTTATCTTTACAAATCAGAATGTTGAGATGTATGTTTCATTGTCAAAATTCTTAAAAAATTTTGAAGAAAAAAATCTATCCTATAGATATATAGAATTTTGCTTTGAACAAGGAAAACAACACTTGTCAGGTTGAGTTAAATTCCATTATGATCTATTTACACAACTAAGTAAAGCTTTAGGAGAAAGTAACCAGCAGTGAGCTTTTTCATCTGACCAATTTTAATGTTGAAAAGTAATAGTTCTATAAATAGCTAAATAGATAAGAATAAACTGAACTATGATGGCTAATGTGTTGCACTTAATGTTTCATGTAAACCAAATTATGGTTTGCACTCACTTGATACATATCTTTTAGTTCATTTTCCTGTCTATCTTTCCTCTTGATAAATCCAGCTTTCACACCAGTTCTAGGTTTGGGAGCTTTAATTCTTGGGTTTGTTACAAAGTCTGGTAGAGATGCTTCTAATTCTAGAAGACCTGAATAAGCAGAAATAATAATAGTATAACAATAATTCAAATACTGCAGTGTTTGATTAGATCGATATACAAATTTGTGTTTTTACAGAAACTGTACTATGAATGCCGTACTGTTGTCTACAGTTGCTTAAATCCACTTCATTTGAAATTTGGTGGATAGTTGTGTCATTGGCAATCATACCACATCTCCTTATTTTTATATATAATTCATATAATAAAAAAATGTTGGAATATTATGTTTCAAAACAATGGTTTTGTACTAGTATTTCTAGTCTATATTTATGCTCATTGCCATTACTGGTACTATATATATATATTTAGACAGAATAAAAAAACTAACCTTGATATGTACTAAGATGTTTACTCTTGACAACAAATTGTTCTGATCCCCTGTCTAAGAACATTCCTATTCTTGTAAGTGGTGCATATGTTTGGGAACCATAATTAGAGAAATCCTGAATCACATCTCTCCTCTCCAGTTTTCCTTCCACTTTCGCTCTTTTACCAGTCAGCTTTCTTATGGCTGCAAAAAAGAAGTCAATGGTCATCAAAACTAATATTAAGAAAAAGTTTTAGTAATTTTCATCTAAGCTTATATCTCAGTAAATATTGACACATACATTGAGCGTTCCAGTTTTTGAAATGGAATTGCTTAATATTTCTCATCATTCCTTCCTAAGTGTAGAATGGCGAGTGTTTCTGAAAATTGTATTAGGCTGATCAACCTACCACGTTAAAGCAACAACAGTTTATGATTTATCAATACCAAAGACTGTTGCACAAATTGATTAATCACTGGTTGTTTGTATGGTCATAAAAATATCATTCCTCCCCGGAAAGTATTTCACATCTAGTTAAACAGTTGCTGGAAAAAGTCCTCACAAGGTTTATTTCCAGAAGGGACACATGGAATCAAAAATTCAAGTGAACTTAAAACAAATGATTGTCCTGAAAGAAAAATGAAAACATGTATAATCACATATTCCCCAGAATTAATGAATCAAAACTTTTTACATGATCAGCAAATTAAGAATTTTTTAAGCTAAATTACTTTCAGATCATGAAAAACAATAAGCATATCTTGGATTATTTCCCTCAAACCTGACTGAAAATTTAGTATGAAAGTTCTGGTTCTTAGTAAAACTTTTTTCTCCCAGCACAAAAAAATCTAACAAATAACCAGTGGACATGGTCTTAAATAAGTTATACATTTGTAGTATAATGTGCTTACTTTTTATGTGCTCATTTCTTATTTTCTTTATTTTGGCCTCCTTTTCTTTCTGTTTCTTTGACCTGAAAAGTATACATCTCAGTTTTAATGTACATACTTGCAAAAGAAATCTGACAGCAAAGTATCTAAACATAATATGAGTTCTATCTTATTGTAATTGTATTGCTAAATATTATTGTAAAATTTCAATTTTAAAAGAAAAACAACTTCCTGCTTCCAAACCCACATTTGTATTGAAGGAAGATGAGAATATAACAAATAAATTTTATGCAGACCAATAAATAAACTTTTCCTTTGCTTTTGGTTTTTTCTACACTGTAGTAATGTGTCATGAATTGATACATCATATCTTTTTTTCTCCATTATCTAAAGGACCTAATCATGTTCATTATTCTTACCATAATTTATCTAATCTCTTTATGTTCAGTTCTGCATGATTTTCTTCTCTCTTTTTCAGCAGTTGCTTCAAAACTTCTAATCTTGCTTCCTGAAGTCTAAAAAAAGTATAAAATTGTTATCATATCATAGTTACTTAAAATGTTTAAGAAATAAGAACCTTATTTCTTAAATTTACTCGGACTTTCCCAGTTTGGCAACTAATGTATTAAGAATTGGGTTCTGAATGAATTTCATTTTTAGTTTTCTTATATTTTAAATCAATAGAAACAAACGAAAACTGCATGTTTCAGTGCAACAAACTATGGTTTGGTATTAGAAAGTCTATAAATCATTTTTTTTTTTATTAAATACTGGTAGTTTGTTCTTTGACTAAGATTTTTCTTGAAAATATATCTAAATTGAAAATGAGCACTAAAAATTATGTCTTGATGTAGTTAAATAGGTAACAACACGGATCTAAAGAATATTCAATCAATCATAATATTGAAGAAGAATAATTACTTTTCTATTTCTTGTTCTCTCAATGTCCATTCTTTTCTTTCCATCTCATCCATCATCTTCCTTCTTTTGTCCAGCTGTGAGACATCACTTAGTGGTGGAAGAGTTGACTCCCATGCTCTTTTAGCTCTAGCTCTCTCAATCATCTCTACTTCAGCCAATCCAGCTGGTAATCCCCTTCCTGAAGAGAAAAAAACATGTATGTAATTTTACACATAGTTTGCTCTTCCTCAGAAATTGTGGTACATGTATTCCAAAATGTTTAAAAAATAATTGACAGTTTAATAGCATGGTTAGAAAAGATATATGATTAGCATATTTTATATCTGTTGAAAATGGAAAGTATATTAGTGTTTCCAAAGGGCTTCTGAACTTGTGGACATTTGGTCTGATGAATTTGTCAAGTTTACAGGACTGAACTGCACTTTCCAAGAAAAATTCAAAATGCTGTAGGTGTTGAGATTCTTACAAGTTATTCTGACTAGTATTGAAGTGCTACCAATGTCCAAGGGACCTTTAGAATACACTGTATTGATTTAGCAATTTAAAATTTAAAGAAATTGCACTATCTTCTAAATATGTGTGTTCTATGCTACATACCATAGCTGAGAGTGGCCAATGTGAGTAATTCTGGGGCTGACCCAGGTCTGACAACATATTCTGGTGTATAAGGATCCGTTTGGGCCTCAGAGTCCCTATAGTCTGTTTGTGTCATCATATTTTTGGTAGGCGGTGTAGGTGCCCTCTCTACCCGCAGTTGTTCTTGTGCTGCCAAGGGATCTTGTCTGGCTGTGGCTAGTAATACTTCTGGTGGTATTTGTTGTAAAAATGGAATAATCGGCCTAGAAAAAAGTGTGTTATGTTAAAATCTGCTTAAAATTCGGTTTTCTTTCAAAATGAGAGCATTGCATAACTGAAATTCATTGTGACTTTTGCTTCTTTTTAATTACCAAATTTAGATTTTTTATTTTTTTAGTGAAGGCTTTCATATTTCACATACACAGACTAACTTTACATTGAAATGGATAGATACTGTGGTGCTCTTCAGTCATATATCAATAAATCCTACCTTTTAAAAAACTTATATCTATCTGCCCCTCCAACATCTGCTGAGGAATAGGCTTTTGCAGGAACTTGGACGGACGGATCAAAGTTAAATCTGAAATAAAAACAAAAATAGAACATATCATTAGTATTTTTGGTGTATTTCAATATAATCAAGGATTAATAGTTTAATTTAAGCACATATTTTCTTGGCAAATAAAAAAGATAATTTGAAGTAATTATAGATTTTTATTTCGGTCATAGCTTTATTAAATGTTCACCTACCATTAATCTAATTTTCTCATAATTAGCTTTTACAAAGTTCTGAGAAAAAATTACAAATAGTATCCTGGCACAATTTAAATTATTGTGATGTTAAAATTCATAGCAACAGGGTAAATCTAATTTTCTAATAAAACCTTGCATGTATATTTCATTATAAGTTTTAAATAGGATGAGGGAGAAAAATCATGGCATCAAAATTTCATGATGCTTAAATACCCTTTGAACACTTTTTCATATTATACATATATCTATAAGAGTCTTTCATGAAGTTTTATTTCATTGGAAGGTTTAACTCATAAGAGTCTATCATGATATTTCAATTTGTATTTTATTGCATCCTTACGTTGTATGCCTAATCATGGCTTCTCTTGCTTGGTTCTGATATCCTCTCCATTGTCTTGAAATAAATTTGGGAACAGGATCCGTAACATCCAACCTCATCTGAAATCTGGGGTGGTGTCGTAGTTCACTGAACATAGTAGGGTACAAAGGGACTCTTTTCTGCAGAAACATATGAAACATTGATATATATATTTTGTTGACACTATTTCTTTGGCAAATGTACAATAATTGTATAAAATTACTGATTATAATTTATAAAACTACTCTATTCTTCCTAAACTCTAATACCAATTAGTTGACAGTTCTTGTGTATGACATAAATTTATTTATGTAAGAAGATAGCACATATGTCTGCATTTGAACTTGTTAATGATGTGTTTCTTAACATTTGTATAGACATTTCTTTCTTTTTCTTCTATCTGAACAATCTTCTACTCCTTACTTTGATTTTTGACTGTTAAGATGGTTATAATATATTTTTGTCAAATAAATTACTTACAACCCTGTCAGTGCTGGTGTGTGATTTAAATGTGGCTCTTGCATGATCTCTTTCACTAGCTACCACATGTAAAGGATCTGAAATGGTAAAATAGCACTAATATGAATAATAGATCTTCTGGCAATTTAAAATTTTATATACTACCCACATCCAAATGAGGACCTTTTTTTTAACTTTCTAACTCAAGGCTGAATTAAATTCCTTCTTTTTGCTATATCTGTTTTACTTTTTTGCTACCTGTTTATTAGCTACACATATACATGTTTTTCCATATGCTTATACTAGTGCTTTTTGTTTACATGTATGTTTAAGAAATAATTCATTGGGGCTTGAATTTATATTGATTTTACCACGGGTTGACCCTTTATGCCAAATATTGGCATAAAGGGTCAATGCTTTTGCTCTTACATCACATTTATGAGTGTAGGAATGAGGTACCCAAAATGACAGTAAAATATTTAAAATAATGTAAAAGATAAATATTTTACTCCATTTGAAGCTAACAGTAGCTACAAAATGAGATTTGACGAATGAAGATAATGTCAGAATTATGGCTCATTTGAAGCTAACGGTATTGAAAAAAGACGCTTGATGATAAGGGGCATTCCTACCCTCAGTTATAGTTAATTGTTCCAGATTTAAGGCAAGGATACCTGGGACAGACTAACCATCAGAAAGTACCTTGGGACCTTATACTTAATCAAATGGTACCCACATTTATTTGTTTTGGGGTAATAGTACCCAGAGTAACTTGGAAGGAAGAAAAGTACCCATATCATTGAGATTTTTCACATATTCTTATACATTTCTATTGATTCCAGATAAGCCAATGAATCATTTACGTTTTCTTTTGTTACGAGTGTCATGATAATGAAAATGCAAGTGCTGGTTTAGTATCGACTTCCAGAAGAGAAGGATTCCAAAAACTTGACTAACCCTTAGGCCTTACCTCAACCCATACCTAATCATAAAACTAGCTCTAACCCTTACTTAAAACTAACATTAACCCTTACAATAAATAAACCCTTATCATAAAGTACAGGGTCCCTTAAAGTAAAAAGAAGGCCGTTTTTTATTGTTTGTTTGTTTTTTTTTTGGCTATCGCATATTCAACTACAATTTAACCAACTAACCATACAGATAGTCGTGTCTCCGGGCTGGCTGAAATCCAGGCTTTCGTAATGTTTGAGTTTGGGTTGCCATTTTATCGCTTAGTTATTTAGTTTTGTCCTGTCAGATGATCATTTGGAGCGCTTCATTTCGAAAACAAATGGCCGTCCATTTACAACGTTGCTATGGAGATTCTAAGTTAACGTGGTCTTATTTTAGAAAATAAAATTGTCCCGATACATTTTTTGACTCATTATAATCTTTCGATAAAATTCTATGATTAAAAAATATAAAAATGAAATATTTAATAATTAAAGATGAAACAGATGTAAATACAAAACTTAAACCGGACAACCCATATGGATTTCCGGAAAATGTGTACTATAGTCTGTACTGACGTGGACATTTACAATACATTTATTATTATGTATCATTCTGCTAATATGCAATCAATGTTACCATCGAGCGACAAGGCTGTTTAACATCTATTTAGAATGAATTTATTTGATTACATAGTGGTTTTAAGTATTCTTTTAAGATATCCGCTAGATTTTTTTCAGAATTTAAACTTGAACAACTAATTTTCGGTTGCAAATCCTTTAAACTTGATGTGCTTCACATTTTTTCAGTGCTTATCAGTAACTACATTAATGTCAATTTGTCTGTGTTTCATGTTTGCTTTGTCTATAATTTGCTGTGCTTTGCTACTAATATTTATCATATTCATGGTGTGCTTTCTGCCACTTTTTATGTTTTATTTCTGTTGTTTATCATATATTTATGTCGGTTAAAAGCTCTACAGAGCTTATATTTGTATTCTTGTATGTATATCCGACTTTAATAATTTTTTTAATATACTTTATGCTTAGTTAATAAAACGGGGAAAAAAAAACAACAACAAAAATCCCACAAAAACACAAACAAACAAATAAACAAATAAAAAAACAACAGGGAACAGATGATAAAAAAGCACAGAAAAAGTAGAAGAACTCTTGGAGAAGCCACATTCCTTTGTAGGACAGCTTGTCTTCGTTAACATTTATGTTTTCTCTAGTCTTCATATTACCACATATGAATACGTTCAGTATCAAACTTACACTTTCCTTAAAAGAAGATAGTTGTTCGATATTTTTTATAAATCTTTAATAAGTTGTTATTCGGTAATAAATCATAATAAAAAAAAAATGGACACCCAAAGAAATTAAAAGCTACAAATTTTGTGCTTGTCATGTATATGTTCGTTTTGAAAATAAAGTATTATGTCAAGTGATTGTTATTCCGCTGGAGACTAACTGTGCCACTCTATCTTGAAATTGCTCGTTTTACTGTTGTGCTTGACAAACCTAACGAAACACCTCTTGATAAATATTTTAACCATACTTGTAGTTACTAATACGATATATTCTTTTAAGGTTAGCAATCCAACTTTTCTAAATATTCATATGACATATGAATTGTGCACTTCAATTCACCGATCTTACCAGTTGCGGATTTAGGGTGGGGCGAAGAGGGCATACGCCCCTCAAGATTGGAAAACATATTTTTTTAGCATTAAATTGTCCACGACACAATTTCTTCCCTACTGTTAATTGTTCTTTTCTTGATATTGGTGTTCCATTTGTTCCTTCTTCTTCGGTATATACATTTCTCCGTTAGTTTGATATGCGCGTGTTTGTAGATTTCGGTGATCCCAATATTTGCATTACTTACAAAACTCAGCAGTGATATACATGTAGGTATCCTAAGTTAGTCAACACTTTAGTTGCCTTTATCATATGCGTATTGTTGCACTAAAATAAAGAAATATATTTCCAAATATCTCTTCAATAAACCGCTATAGGCTAGTTAGAAACAAACTAGTCAGGGATGATCGATACGCATCACGTCAATGATTGCGTTTTTCATGTGTACCAGCTAACAAAGCAGCCAACAGTATCATGTTTGACCAAAGTACTATATTGAGATCCTAAAAACTGAGATTAAAAATTCTTTTGCTTATATTATATCGGAGAAAAGATCGGAGATGAACACTTTCAACAAAGACGTGTCTTAAAGCTATTACTGAACAATTCAACATCAAAAGATGCCTTGATTAATTCACTTCCTAAATTACACAAGAAACAAAACACGTATTTTGTTTCATGCTTGCATCACGTTATAATTCAACTGCAAATATTCCACTGGTTCTCTTTCCACTGTTAAGAATATTATTATCAAATTTTGTGACAAATCGTGTGTTGATAGTGGTATTGTATACTTCTTGAGTAATCAAATTTCCCAGAGCGTCTTAGATAAGCAGCGTTCTATTGAAGGTCATGTTATCTTCGTTTGAAGTTATGATTTCTCTACTTTTCGCAACTATCAAATAATCTTATCAAACAGAAATTTTCTGAAAAAAACAATAGAATATATTTCGATATATCTGATGTATAGTATTATACATGAATTAATATTAGATATAAAACTTACACACTGTGTTTTCCAATGCACAGATGTAGCATGATTTGTCATGGAATAGAAGTTCTCTCAAAATATTAGTTCAAAACGGAAGAAATGCTTTGAAATATTATTTCCATTGTCAGAAATGTATTTGTTTTTAACGAAATAAAAGGTATAGAATATCTGTTCCAACAGGAACATATAATATCATGGCATTGTTTATAACAAAGTTTCCAGAGGATTAACTTCTGTGAGGAGGAACAAATATACTTTGCCAGATCGATATCTGCCAACCGTCGGAATTCCGCTCAAACCGGTGCTAGGGGTTCGTCTTAAACTCGCTGTGGCATCTGAGTTTTGCTCAATGTTGAAGGCCTAAACGTAACTTTGAGACTAAGACCATCAACAAAAGCACTGTCACTTTGTTTTTGGGAATTTCATGTGCTCCCAGTTTGAGTGATTTTGTGTCATTGATAGATGCAACATATCCCTTTTACCATTACAAAATTTAAACATAAACAAGTGCACATAGAAATACTGATTAGTCATCCATTTTTAGAATGCAGCAATGGTTACTCGTTTGACTACAAGACATACTACACTATGATCATAGTACGATCCGAGTTGCGATAGATCTTAATTTTAATCAGATTGGATCTGATCTCCGCTGTGGTACCACGAAGTTATTTGTTACTCAATAAAGCATTTCTAGAACTGTACATGTCTCTAATGAATTTTCCAATAATTCTAATCATATGATTCTCACCACAAGTATACACAAATTCAAATCTTGCTTCATTGATCATATTTAAAAAAGAGGGAACAATTTCACCAATTTCAGAAAATGATTGCTCTCTAATTGTATTTAGGTTTGTGCATTTTATAGAGAAATGGAATTCGTCATCTACTTCAAAAAGACCTAAGGGACGAATATTAGCAAAATTTACTATTATTTGTTTTCAATGCATAACATTAAATAGGTTTCTAGTTTGCAATTTTCCCTATTAGCTGTCTAATCTATATGTTCTGAGCTTATTACTGGTCAATGATTTATTACCACAAAAATTATGGTACGTAATTATACAATATTCGAACGAAAGAACAAGACAACTATTACAGAGATTGTACATAGCTTATGTACTTTGTGTTGTGTCATCATTTACTATGATAATGACAAAATAATTTAATACACGAAATGATTTGTGTGTAACCTTTATATTGTTTGGTTTTAATCTCTACTTTCTGAGTGAAATATATACAGGTAATGTTTGAGTTCCTTGAAAAGAAAAAGGGATAAAATAACATGAGTTGTCTCCCTTTCACCACTGTTTTTTTGTTGCCAAAACATCTTTTAGTATTTAGAAAACAAGATTGAAGTTCTGGGTTTGTTTATATGTACCAAATTAAAAACAAAAATAGACAGCAATTTTCAGTAAGAAAACTTTATGACCCAACAAAAGTGACCACGAACGTAATTTTCATTTACCATCATCAATCATTGTTTTCAGAAAAAGAAAACTTAAAATATTCTCGATTTGGAGCATTATTGGTTAGATCATCCAACATAAAAGCATTTGCAGTATGTGGACAAGAGTCTTCCTTTTATATTTATTCTTGTATATTTATCTAAATCAAACAAATAAATAATTTTAAACCAATTTTTTCTCCTATTTTCATGAAATTTTTATTAATAATTTCAGAATAATATTTGTATGAGAGACAGAATACACAAATAGTATTATATAATTCTGGTGGTATCTTATGATTATCAATATATTTTTTTTCTTCTAATTTAGAAATTGAAGAGTTCTAGCTTTATTTTCAAACTTTAACTATGGTAACTATGGTAACAAGGTAAGGTTTATGTTTAGATTTTTTCAGATATATTACTAAGATTCAAACAAAATTGAAAATCACCGTAAGTAACGACAGGTATTACTGGACTGCTAATTTTTTGGGAAGTAAGTAATTTCATCTACTAGTAACTGAAGAAAACTATGTGCTTTATCTTGTTAAATTGTTTGGACGTTTTTACAAGCACAAATATTATATATTTTGTCCAACTTAGCCATAAAATGTAAGATAACTCTGACGATTCTAACTCTTATAAATAAACGAATGCCATGTAGTAATGTTACCTATTATGTTTTGTAGAAAGATAACGAGTCACATGACCCCAGTTTTTCTTTTTAATTTCTCAAGGCATATAATAGGAGCTATCTTCTTATATCTAATCTAAAACCCACATTTTTTTTATGTAGCTTAGAGATATAAACTTTATTTTGGCAAATAATAAAAAAAAAGATCGATTTTAACCTAGACCCCTATCTACCTAATGGCAGATACATATAATACAATATATTGTATTATATGTTTCTGCTAATGGTGAACAATTTCTGGAAATCGATGAGGAAGAGTCATGAGATCATTTAATAAGAAAAATACAAATTAATGTAACACAATAAGGAAATATCGAACGATGGGACCATTTTTTTCCTAATGTGTAGGTGAACTTATTTTGATGTAAGATACAATGTTGGTCAGATAATTTTATATCAGTTTATATGTATGGATTATGTCCGACAATCAATAAATGGATTTTAATTTTTTTTTTTCAAGTATAGTAAAATTTGAGAGAAAAAAAAAACAGTTTGGAGTGATCAGTTTTCTCATCTTTTTTATTCTTGCATTACTGCTTTCACATTTTATTGAAACATATGTTTGGAATACGTCAGTGAGACAGCAACCCAACTATACATTAT